ACACGGAATTCCGGGAATTAGGTCGAGCAGGAATTGAACGGAATCACACGGAATCACACGGAATTCCTAGGAATTCCGTCTAATTCTCACCGATTCCGTATTGAGCTAATTCCGGAATGTTCAACATTGCGGAATTGAATGACTGCTCATTTATCTACTTTATCTTTAGTGGTAATTATTTCTTACCCATGATACTGATGTTATTACTTATCTACTTTACCTTTAGTAGTGACTATAATTTATCAATAATATTCTTGCGTTGTTTATCTATTGGAATTACATTCTTGGCTATTACTTTTCAATAGTATTGTGAGTTTATTTTTCTATTTGAATCATATTGGTGAGTATNAGTGACTATAATTTATCAATAATATTGTTGCGTTGTTTATCTATTGGAATTACATTGTTGGCTATTACTTATCAATAGTATTGTGAGTTTATTTTTCTATTTGAATCATATTGGTGAGTATTACTTATCGATAATATTTGTATTATTATTTATCTACTTTATCCTTAGTGGTGGTTATTGCTTATCGATAATATTGTTGTTTTCTTCTTTTATTTTAATTATTCAATATGCCACACAACACAGAAAAGATACATGATTTGAATAAAGACCTTTTTGTCAAAATAAAAATATCAAATGTACCACGACCATCGTTTATATGGAACTATTTTGGACATTTATATAAACTCCAATTTTTAACTTAGCCGCCGCCGCTACACAATGACTTATAAATTTCAGCCGGCGCCGCCGCTGTGGAAAAAAATTTAAGGAATTATAGCAGCCGCCGCTGAAGAGCGTACTCCTTTAAATAACGAGCCGCTGAGCATTTTGAAAAAATGAAAATTTTTGCCCGCCGCCGCTGTTCAACCCTTCGGCTGACACCTCTAACGATGACCGTTTACGGAGATGTTTCACGGTCCTCGTTACGACGATCGTATTTCATCGTATAACTTCGTTTACGGCAACAGTAGACGACTACAAAATACGGTCGCCGTTTTTCACCGTGAATGATAGGCATACGGCTGTTTACGGGTCAGGTTGATCGACCTGGGATATCTTGTGAAATCGAACATGACACATAATAGTTAAATATAATATTTGAAAAGACGTAACTAATATCTTCGAGAAATTCAGATTCAAGAGGTTATGAGAAAATGCCTCGTATAGTTTGCTTAATATTAGTTTTTTGAGTGATAATAACAATTTTTTGTTGTTTGATATTTGTTGAATATCTTCACTAGATAAATACGGTACTAAATCAACAGTATTTTGATAAGTACAAGCCCACAAAGTGGCAGAATGAAGTTGTAGCAAAAAAAATAAAAATTCAATATTGAGTATGACTATCATCGATGAATCTATCTCGATTTTGTATCTATGACAAATTAAAGTAAATTTTTCCAGGCATAACATACGATTAATGAAAGATAAAATTCTAGAATCAAATAAACCATTTGGAGTATATGATAGGAGGCAATTCAAATTAGGTAAGTTATCCTACAAAATAAAAGAAAATATTAATACACAGCTTAAGAAACTAAATAAAACATACAGTTAATTATTTGATGAACTATTTCTAGTTTTTCTTTGAAATATAAATATGTTGATGATAGAATATTGAGTCGCTATCATCCAGTCGTGGGATTTGAATAAAATAGATATCTAATGAGTTAATTACATAGTTTTTCTATGTTTATTTATTCCAAATCCATGCTTGAATTGAATACTCTGAATTACATCAGTGAATATTAAATGCAGCTCCGACTACTAGCGCCAACTACTATTTTGTTCATCACAAAAATATGTCAACGGTATATATTTTCTCATATAGATACTCATATCGAAGAATCGAAATGAATAAATTTGTTTTAATATGAATTTACTTATAGAGTTTAATTACAATATTTTGATTGATCGAACAATCAACGAAGTAAATTTTAGTGGATATTTCACGTGAAAAATTGTGTCATCATATTCTTAAGTAGTTGATTTTTGGTTAATGGAATCATTAGATACATTTCGTTATTATTGGCAAGCAGAAATCTCGAAAGATAAATCCGACCAATCGAACTCTATCAATAATATATCACATACTCCCACCGGTGATCTCTGTCGATTAGGAACTAAATCGAAAAATTCAATTGAATGCCATAGACCTATTCCACCAGCATCTGATTTAATTCGTCCCACACGTGGAGTAAACAATAATACATCATTTACTATTGGTATTCGAACATTCATTTCTTCAAATTCTTCTTTACTAAAGCCAACAACGAATGAACCTCCAAGTAAAAAATTGAAATCATCAAATTTAACATTACTCGATGAATTGATACGCGATATTGATGAATCAACCGATGTCCCATTTTTTAATATTTCATTACCACGCGAAATAGCATTACATATATTTGATTATTTATCAATGAAAGATTTATATTCTTGTTTACAAGTGTGTAAATCATGGCATTCATTATCATGTGATGAACTATTATGGTATAATTTATATAGGCGATTAAAATTCAATAATTTAAATAAAACAAATGATGATAGTTGGAAAAATCAGGTTAAAGAAGCTATTTTATTAAATCAACAAGTAACAACAAATTTTAAAAATCATCAATGTCGTACAACAAAATTAACCAATCGACTTGGTATTGTTTTGACATGTGCAAATAATAATCAAACAACCATTGTCGCTGGTTATTCGAGTGGAATTATTCGTACGTGGTCTATTGAAGCTATTTTAGATGCCGAGGAAGATACTGAAGATCATGAACAGTTAGATACTCCTGATATTATCTATGAATCAACCGACACAATGCAAGATACTGATCTATCGAGTGTAAAATCAGTAGGATTATTAAAAAGTGATATCTATGCTATGCATGACAATGGTCTATTAGAAATTTGGACGAATGATATAAGCGATAAACCTCGATTTACTCAAAAATTAACATCATTACCAATTAAGCATCTGGCAAATGATGAGAATATCTTATGTGCTGCTAGTCGATCGAAATTTTCAGTATGGAATTTCAATGAGGTAAATATATTTGTATAGGAATTAATTACTAAATGTCATAGACCAAAGAATTGATCGTATTTTTATTGACAAACGTATTAACTTAATTTTTATTTCTCTGGAAGATGAATTTAAACCTGTAGTTTTGAGCACGCATTAAATGTAAATTTCCAACATTCAGGTTGTAAGGATGAAATGATCGTCTGTTTTTTTGTTCGTTTAGGAAACTCCACAATATCAAGAACTTGACTTTCTAAATCAGTTCAACGATTGTATTATATCATTTTGTATGTCTAGTCATCATTCAGTACCAATATCAATCGTAGCTGCTAATAAATCTCTTTGGTGTATGTCATTATCAAATTTAATTCATCGTCATTCGTTCTATTCAATACTTGAATCTGATTATGTACAGAAAATTCCATTAGATGTTCATAATGATGAACCATTAGCAATAGTCGGTCTGGATCGTGAAATAAAATTATTCGATTTAGAAAGTGGCCGTTGTAATATAATATCAACAAATTATAAAAATCTTCCTGCTAATATTCAATTAATTCGTGCTGATAAATGTCCAATAAATGAATTTGTAGTTGCATTTGATAATTATCAAATAAGTATTTTCGATCGACGACAAAAAGAAGGAGCAATTCAGCATTTTTATAATCACTATTCGACTATAACAACACTACAACTGGACTCGTGGAAGCTAGCTAGTACAGATACATGTGGATTTGTTCGACTTTGGTAAGAGATTATAATTAAATTATTGCATATATGTAGTTTTTTTTTCTAATTTCTATAAAAGGGATCGACGAATGAATCCGCATTCTTTATGGCATATGAATCCGCAGCTACATCCTGTTACACATTGTTCGTTTGATAAGCAAACACTGATTTTCGCATTAACACCCTACTGCAAAAACCCAGACATGGCAAGTTGAATTGTTTTTATATATTTCCGAAATAATAGAAGCCAATCAGAAATCCAGGCTCAGTTTCGATATAGACAACTTTCAAGTAGCTCTTAGAATTTCTTATGAAAACTTCCAACATTTATGGTTAGTGGAATTTTTAATCGCACTCAAAAGTTACCTGTAGTTATGAACATATGTGGTTTTCTCCCATCTATAAGCACAATCATCGATGATTGTATATTGGTTTGTTACATGATTTAGCGTTAGGATCGTATTTCTTTCTATGCGATAGTGAGAAATCCGATCGTTTACAACATTCATTTGACTCAGCATTGCGACGTCAACAATCGTCCGAGGATATTAATACTTGTACCACGAATTACTGATCGAGGAGTTACTCATCTAGACTAGACTAATATTTCTGTCTTTAGATTGATTATCACATCGATTCGGATCCATTATCAGGACATGTTTATGTATGTGATTTTAAATCGGATGTTTCAACACAACTTGGCGATGATTTAAAAATTTGTACATCATCTTATGATGCACCTCAAGCATCGAATAGAAGGATTGGTTTACATACTCCATATGATATTATTCAGTAACATAATTTTACTTTTGTGTTCTTACGCAAACAAATACTGTCGTTTTTTATTCTATAATTTTAAACAAACTTTACGACCAAACAGAAAAATATATAAAAGAAAATATGTACGCTGATGACTTGTACATTTACTATTAAAGTCTCTCGATCAGATAGTTTTGAATTATAATGTATTAAAAGAAAATCTTTTTTTAATTTTTAGATGTTTTTATGTTTATAAAATTATTATTTAATGGATATTTCGTACAGTTATGATTATCAATTTCGTTTAATTGTTGTCGGAGATTCTACAGTCGGAAAGGTATAATTCGCTTAAGAGATTTTTTTTTCAATGAATTCATTTGTGCCTTTTTTCATTGTAGTCATCGTTATTACGAACTTTCTGTGATGGAATGTTTTCCCTTGATCCAGTAAGTGAAATCAATACGATCAAAATAAATAAATGAATAATTTTTAATAGGATCCAACAGTCGGTGTAGATTTTCATGTCAGAATTGTTGAAGTAAAACCAGGTATTAAAGTTAAATTACAATTATGGGATACGGCCGGCCAAGAACGGTTTAGGTAAGAAGATGAATATTATCTGAGAACTAACGGATATTTTAATATTGAAACATGAACGAGATTAGTATAGATACTATGTAGATTACTTAAGTAATCTACAAAACATGTGAAGTAAATACGTTTAGGAAATCTTCCATTTAAATATTTGTAGAAGTATCACACGTGCTTATTATCGTAATTCAGTTGGTGTTCTTCTTATATATGATACAACGAATTATGTTAGCTTTACACATGTAACCAGTTGGTTAAATGATGCCCGTCAACAAATCGAACCATATCATTGCGTCTTTCTTCTTGTTGGCACGAAAATTGATCGAGAATCCGAAAGACAAGTATGTTGATAGATAAAAGAAAAATGTTTTACTTTTAATTATATGTAATTAGGTGTCGACAGAAGAAGGCAAAGCATTTGCAGATTTTCATAATATTTCGTTTATTGAAACATCATCAAAATCTACTCTGTACGTTCAAGAAGCGTTTGCACTTATTGCTCGTGAAATCTATGATTTATTAATTGAAGGTCGCATTAATGTTCAGAAAGGGTAAGTTCATTATTATTCTTTTCAATAATTATTTTCTTTCTGTTTAAAGGTGGGATGGAGTAAAAGCTGGTCCTAATGTAGCTGCTCCAGCTCAGAATCAACCCATAGATGTTACACAAAACAATCAAAATTATCGAAGTGGATGTTGCGGTGGCTAATATTGTCTTTCAATGTTTTGTTTTCCTTTCTATACGTAGTTCCTTTTCCAACAGTGTATTTGTTTTATGATTGCTTTTTCTCTTTAAATCTATATATATATATATATATATATGTATGTATAAATACGTTTTTCCGCAGGATACTATTGAATTAATCAATGAAACTCGTTTTCATTGTGACAAAAAAATCTATATATATGAACGTGTGTGTGGTTGTAGTTGATTTCTAATGCTTTTCCTCCTTTGAATTATAAAACAATAATGTCCTATAATACGCTGAGTATGTTTATTAACAAAAATTATTTGTATTATTTTTTCAGAAAGGTTTAAACTGGCTTTAGGAATAAAACATATTTTTGCCTTTGTTGCTGCAAGAAACAAATTAATTCAAAAACATTCAGGAATATTCAGACATATGGTAAGTTTTACTGTCGATGTAAAAAGCAAATGGGTTGATTAATGAAATTCGAGTTTCTTTCTAAGTGGATACTTGACATAGATCAATAAAGGAAGGATAAAACAACAGTTATATTTTCTTATTCACTTTCTCATCTACAGGGGAGATGTTAACTTCTTCATTCGCCCCCCCCTCGCTTTTTTTTGTTGTTAAATTATCTCAACAGTGTACCTTGAGCGAATTTGAACAAGAATTTTATATACGATACGATTTAATTTTAGAGTTCCATAATTAATCAGGATAATGTTGATCCCAATCATATAATGTCTATTATTGATGGATATCGTTGTTCACAAACATTATTTACTGCAGTTAGTTTAAAACTATTTGATCATTTAACAAAAGAAGAACTTCTATTAGAAGAACTGGCGAACAAATTAAATCTACCTCACTTATCAGCATTGGAACGATTTTTAAATGCTTGCATTGCTCTTAAATTAATTCAACTAGATAAAACAAATAAGAAATATTCGAATACACAGTCAAGCAATAAATATCTCGTTTCGAAAAGTCCCGATACTCTCAATGGATATATTGATCACAATAGCCAATCGTCTTATTTACTTTGGACTAAACTTCCTAATGCAATACATGAAAATGCTCCACAATGGCAGAAAACGTTTAACACAATTCACGGAGAGGAATTTACATTTGATTCATTTTATCGCGATGAAAATGCTGAAACACTATTCATGTCTGGCATGCACGGTTTAGGTTTAACTTGCTTTCCAGCTGTTGTTGCGTCTGTTGATAATTTTCAACAATTTAAATCATTTTGTGACATCGGCGGAGCTACTGGATGTTTGGCTATAACTGCATGTAAAGCAAATCCAAATTTACAGGCAACTATTTTTGATCTTCCTCGCATTGAAAAACATGCTGTTCAATATATTAATGAAACTCCGGCAGATATTCGTAATCGTATTCTCTTTCAAAGTGGTGATTTTTTTAGGGATCCTCTACCACGAGCGGATCTATTTACTCTCGGACGTATTTTACATGATTGGAACGATGAAAAGTGTCAGATACTATTAGAGAAAATCTATCGAACACTACCTGAAATGGATGGTGCAATTTTAATTGCAGAAAAATTATTAGTCGACGATAAATCAGGACCAGTAACAGCCAATATGCAAGATTTGAATATGCTTGTTGCTACCGCTGGAAGAGAACGAACATGTTCTGAATATAAAGATTTACTTGAAAAAGTTGGTTTCAAGAATATTAAATGTTTCCGGACTGGAACATATCTTGATGCAATTATTGGATACAAAACAAATTAATTTAGCATTTAATTTCGGTGAATTTGTTATTGTTATATAGGATGTTAAAGAGAATGCATTACTTTTGATTTACGTCTATCCTATACGAATTGTTTGATTATTTCTCTGATTTTTAGATCATTTGATATACGTATTTCTTTTCCGTTACTTTATGGCTCAGTTTGAAGACACTTACAAAAGATCATAGAACTGTCGGGCATTATTCAATTGCGTGCGACGGCTACGAGTAAGTTCTCGTTGTGCTAACGAGGAAATCATTCAAATTGATACCCGTCATCTATGTTTATCTTGGTTTTACAAAAAGGTTTCAAAAGCACCTGTGAGCTAAAAATATAGATTTCAGTTCGAAAGACTCTTTTGATGGAAACGAATCGCACTCGTGGTCTACTGATGGGGGTTGTGAACGTGCTCATGAGATTTTCACTGAGAACAAAGTTCGATATTCGATTGTTACGTTTGCCAATGGTTCAACTATGTTCGGTTTTGAAATCGAATATACTAGTAGATCGTAGCCTGAAAATCTCTATTTTACTAAATCGGATGGAAAGTTAAAACGATTTAGGAAAACATAGACAATATCGATTATCGCCAGCGAGTTGTTGAGAAAGTAAAAATGTATATATACAAATCTATCAGTTGTCTATGTTTTCAAGAAGGACTTCAATAGTCCGGTGACCTCTTTTCAGGATAGAAAATCACCAATTTTTTCTTCATTTGACATGATAAAACTTCTCAATCAACCAATCCTAATCTTTTCACTAGCAAACGTTATCAGATACTTCAACATTTACATTGAAAAAAATTCATGTAGATATCATCAATTTTTTTAATTATGCACAAAAATGTCTTGTGCCGTTTCAAAACCTATTGAGAAATATTGCATCATCATTTTTTTGTACATAAAAAAATAACTTCATTTTAGATTACAGATAATTAAATAATCTCAATAAAGAAGAGCAAGATGGTTAAAACACAGTACCGTAGTGTGAAAACTGGAAAAGTCATGTAAGAATTGGAATTCCTATGAAAAATCTTCGTAAAAAATCAATTAATTATTTATAGAAATCAAATTCAGTTTGCTCCGTTTTCTTCACTTGACATGCAAAAAGAAGCACATATTCATGTTGTCAGTAAGAATTTATATTCGCAAGATGCTGCACGAACACCAGCTTCATTTGGTGTACTCGATCCAAAATTGGTAATTATAATTTTTCTATTTCTTTGTTTAACAGAGAATATTTCTTCTTCTTTCTTTTATTAGGGAGTCGGTGGAGGAAAACGTACATGTGATACATGTCATCAAGATGTTTCAAAATGTCTTGGCCATTATGGTTATATTGATCTTCAATTACCTGTATTTCATATTGGATTCTTTCGTTCTATTGTTGTTGTTCTTCAAACAATTTGTAAAGTAATTAGTTCAGGAACCAATATTTTCAAATTATAAGCGTTAGATATATGACATCTTTATCTTAATAATTATCAAATAGGACTACTCAAGAAAGTACTACGTAAAAACAAGCTTTTTCTAAATGCGATTCGAAGAAATTCTGGAATAATCTCCTTGAGATTGAAAAAAAAGAAAATTCTTCTCCCTGTGTATTTGGAATCGTAGTATTCTATAAACTTCATCTTGACCCTATAATACTTCGTTTTTTTAATAATCCAATTCTTTTTTTTACCTCCATAGAAATGTTCACGTGTTATGCTTAATAAAGAAATGAAACAAACATTTCAACGACAATTATGTCGACTTGTTTTAACTTATCTACAAAAGAAATCTCTTAGAAAACGTATTCACGAAAAAGCAAAAAAATCCACCACATGCCCATATTGTGGAGAATTGAATGGTAATAAAAATTGACTGTGCAATTCATTTGTAAGATTTTATTTTCAAATAGGTGCCGTTCTTAAATGTGCATTATTAAAAATTGCGCATGATAAATATCGTACACAGAAAAGACAACATAATGCATTGACAGATATTAACGAATTATTTCATTCGGCACGACAGAGCAATCCGGATGTTCCTGGTCTTATTAATTCATATACAGAAATACTTAATCCAGTTCGTGTATTGGAATTATTTGAACGCATTCCAACAGAGGTATGTTTGATATTTTCCTCGAACTTCAGTTGTATAGGTTATCAGTAAAATCAGGGTGAGAGCTCAATTCGGAGAATTTTAGCTCTATTATAGACATGTGCCTTGGAAATTAAATCGATCATTTTGAGATAACTCATTTTCATCTAGAAGAATTGTTTTAAAGGATGAAACAAACTATTTTCTATTTCTAGGATTTGCCTTTACTTCTAATCGACGAATCAGTAATTCATCCACGTGATTTTATTCTTTCAAGAATTCTCGTACCACCCATATGTATTCGACCAACAGTTCAATCGGATTTTCGAGCCGGGACGTATGTTGACTTTTGTTGATTCTTAATATGCATTCGTCTTTATCGTTTTTCTTTAAAGAAATGAGGATGATTTAACAATAAAATTGAGTGAAATTATTTTCTTGAATGATGTTATACAACGTAATCGTTTAAATGGTGTTAAAATGGACAAGCTCGTTGAACAATGGGACTTTCTACAATTGCAATGTGCGCTTTATATAAATAGTAGCCTATCCGGTATTCCAGCTCATATGCAACCGAAAAAATGGATGCGCTCATTTGCACAACGATTAAAAGGCAAACAAGGTCGTTTTCGGGGAAATTTATCCGGTAAACGTGTGGATTTTAGTGCGCGTACAGTTATTTCACCCGATCCAAATTTACGTATTGATGAAGTAAGTTTATTGTTCAGACCGACTTTCGAAAATAACACTAATGACTACTCCGATTAGCAGTACTGTGAAATCCTAAATCAAGCTTTTCTTCACTGAATTTCGAAGCATCTACTCTCGAAAAACTACGAGTCATCATGATTCTTAAAATTTTTCATTACGAACAAAATTCTTTACATACTTCACTGGGTGAAAATAGCTAAGAACTTTTTCTTATTATTTCGAGAGCGAATGCATCTATAAATCAACAATAGCAAATATCTTCTTCTCCGTATGATGTGCATTCATGTATTCATTTAGGTCGCAGTACCAATTCATGTAGCAAAAATAATGTCTTATCCTGAAATTGTTAATAAAACAAATATAGAATTTATTCGACAACTTGTTCGAAATGGTCCTGATATTCATCCAGGTGCAAATTTTATCATTAATCCAAAAACGGAACAGAAAAAATTTCTTAAATATGGTGATCGAAATGATCTGGCTTCGAAATTACGCGTAAATAGTTTTCTTTTTTCATGTACATTATCTACTTTTTTTAATGTTAGTACGGCGATATTGTTGAACGGCATATGATTGATGGTGACGTTGTTCTATTCAATCGACAACCATCATTACATCGTCTTTCCATTATGGCTTTATTTGCAAGAGTCATGCCACATAGAACATTTCGATTCAATGAATGTATTTGTTCACCATTTAATGCTGATTTTGATGGCGATGAAATGAATCTTCATTTACCACAAACAGAAGAAGCTAAAGCTGAAGCACTTGTACTTATGGGCGTAAGATGATTTTTATTTCGAATAGAATATTTTCATTTCCGTTCATTTAGACAAAATCAAATTTGGTTACGCCACGTAATGGAGAAATGATTATTGGTGCAACACAAGATTTTCTTACTGGTATGATGAATAAAATGCGAGGCAATAGAAAGACTGAACATCTTCAGGTTACCTTAAGCAACTAGTGTACTTTCCCCCTCTGATAATGTGGAAATCTTAATTATGAATAATTAAAGTAACTGTAGCTTTCGAACGCTGATATGAATTGAAATAGTGCATTAGAATCTTTGCATTTCTCAAGGTATAAGACTCACAAGCCAACAAGGTCATATTAATCTTGCTGGTCCATATTTCTAGGGTAATATATACACAAATGAATATCAGGCATCTACACCTGAGATTGGCTGAAATAATTTTAGCCAATAGTATATTTCAATGTTGCGGTTTACAGCGCTAGTTTCACACGATATCTATTTCGTTATGAGTAAAAAAAACGATGAAGTCTCAATCGTTAAGAAAATAATCAACTTGATCGAAGTTAGTTATTAACTAGGTTGCATGTGAACTATGATGTATCTCTAATGGAAAGATTTCAAAAATTTCTGAAGAACTTCTAGTTAAAAATCACTTTTTGTTTCTTTACAGGAGCCTATTTACTAACTCAGCGCGATGTATTTTTTGATCGATCAAAGGCTTGTCAATTGCTTACATGGATTCTTACCAATAAAGATGGATTAGAAAAAATCGATCTACCACCACCAGTGATACTTAAGGTACATATATATAATTAGTATTATTATGATCTGTTTTCTTCATGAGAAAATCTTTGTTTTCTTTTATAGCCTTGTCGGCTATGGTCAGGAAAGCAACTATTTAATGTTATACTTCGACTTAACAGCTCTTGTAAAGATATTATTAATTTACGTGTAGCAGGCAAAGCTTATTCTGGTAAAGATGAGGATCTATGTTGCAACGATGGATGTAAGTCCTTTGTCTTGTGATAGAAAAATTCGATTTAATTGTTTGTTGTTATTATTATTTAGTTATTATTATTCGTAATAGTAGTCTTATTCTTGGTTGTATTGATAAAAGTGTATTAGGTGCTAATGGGAAAGCAAATGTATTCTATTTACTCTTACGTGATTGTTCCGAAGCATCAGCAGCTTTGGCTATGGCACGTTTAGCTCGATTGACTAGTTACTATTTAAGTAAGTTCACTTGTGAACAATTTTTCATGTGATTAATTTAATTTTTGTTTTGTTAAATAGTGAATCGCGGCTTTTCTATTGGTTTAATTGATGTAACACCCGGTGAAAATTTATTAAAAGCAAAACGTTTATTAGTTACTGATGGTTATAGTAAATGTAATACTTATATTCAGCAAGCAAAAGAAGATAAACTTCAATTACAACCTGGTTGTTCAAAAGAACAAACGCTTGAAGTAAATTCGCTTTTTATTTTCTACAAAAAAAAAATAAATACCACTCATTTAGTCATTGATTTTAAAAGAACTGTCTGAAGTGCGCGAATCAGCCGGTAAATTATGTCTTCAAGAATTACAACGTTCAAGCAACAGCCCATTGATTATGGCTATTTCGGGATCGAAAGGTAATTTATCAGATACATCATTTTAATATAAGACAAAAGAAAATGATCTAAAAGTGATGAAATTTTTCCACATCTACATGATAAATTGCAATGAATGATTTCTTAAGAACTGAATTGAGCTCTCAGTTATAACTAATCACGGAATCGCTAATAGCAATTAAATTGATGCTATAACATGCTTTGATATGACGATTTTTTTCTTCTCCTATTAGGATCCAATATCAATATTTCTCAAATGGTTGCTTGTGTCGGTCAGCAAGCTATCAGTGGATCTCGTGTACCGAATGGATTTGAAGATCGATCACTGCCACATTTTGAAAAAGATTGTAAGTTTCATGTTAATATCATCCATAAATTTAACAGCACATATTTATTTGTATCTTTTCTAGCTAAGATTCCAGCTGCAAAAGGTTTCGTTGAGAACAGTTTTTATTCTGGCTTAACACCAACAGAATTTTTCTTTCATACAATGGGTGGTCGTGAAGGTAAAAGGAAAATTTCAATGAAGAAAAACATTGTTAAATAAAGAAAATGTTTGATATTTAGGTCTTGTTGATACTGCTGTAAAAACAGCTGAAACAGGTTATATGCAACGTCGTCTTGTTAAATGTCTCGAAGATTTATGTTGCCAATATGATATGACTATACGAACGTGTACAAATGATATTGTTCAATTTACCTACGGTGGCGATTCATTAGATCCAATATTTCTTGAAGGTAAAGATCAACCCGTTGATTATGGCCGAATTTATCAACATGCTCGAGCCAAATATCGTTATGATGCTGAACATCCGCTGAACGGAACTGAAATGAATAATTTTATTGGTCAACAACTTCAATTAAATGAATATTCAATAATGGATGAAGAATATAGAACACAAATTAGTAACTTTATTCAGAAAGTTTCTTTGACTGTTGATAAATTTCGTAAGAAATATAGTATTGATAATTCAATGCCAGCTATTAAAGAAGAACAAGAAGAAGAACAAGAATTAAAATCAACGAGAACTAATAAACGTATGTCAACTGTAATCGCAAATCGTTCAAATAAAAAACAACGTTCGCTACCAAACGTTCTGTATGAAGTTGAACGATGTACACAATCACAATTATATGAATTTCTTCAATTATGCAAATATAAATATGGTCGAGCACGGCTGGAACCTGGTACAGCTGTTGGCGCACTTTGTGCACAAAGTATTGGTGAACCAGCAACACAAATGACATTAAAAAGTTAGTAACGATTTATTTTAAGCAAGAATTTTAGGTTGAACGTGAAATCTAAAAGAGTTTATGATGATAAACATCGACTGATTCTCGATATCTCAAGCGAAATGAATATTCCTTTCGGTTGAAACTCTAACTCTAAGCGAATTTTTATCACTATCTATTTCTTGTTTAGCTTTTCATTTTGCTGGTGTCGCTTCTATGAATATTACTCTTGGTGTTCCACGTATAAAAGAAATTATCAATGCCGTTAAAAAACCATCTACACCATTAATAACAGCTGAATTAATGAATGATTCCGATCAAATATTCGCACGTAAAGTCAAAGGTCGCATTGAAAAAACCTATCTTGGTCAAATATCACAATATATTGAAGAAGTCTATGAATGCGACGATTGCTATTTACTAATTAAACTTGCTCTCGATCGTATACATTTATTACAACTTGAAATAACGCCAATGTCAATCATAGATTCGATTGTGCAAGATAAAAAAATGAAAAAACTTAAATACAATCAATTATCATTGCACTCATCGGATACCATTACTTTACATGTGCCCGATTCATCGAAAGGAAGCATGTACTATACAATGAAACGTTATAAAGAAATTCTACCGAATATTGTTGTTAAAGGCATATCAACAGCTGATCGTGCTGTTATAACTCTTGATGATAAAAATGGTATTAAATATAAATTATTCGTCGAAGGTGAAGGTATGAGAGATGTTATGGGCACACGAGGTGTTAATGCGAATAAAACAACATCGAACAATACAATGGAAGTGTACCGTTGTTTGGGTATTGAAGCAGCACGAACAACAATAATTAATGAAATTGTTTATACAATGGCATCACACGGTATTGGACTTGATGTTAGACATGTTATGCTTTTAGCTGATTTAATGACTTATAAAGTATAAAATGATTTCTTTCATATTCACAAGTACTAATTAATTTGTGTTTTCGTTTTCAGGGTGAAGTACTTGGCATGACAAGAAATGGATTAGCTAAAATGAAAGAAAGCGTTCTAATGCTTGCGTCATTCGAACGTACTATTGATCATTTGTATGATGCTGCTTATCATGGACAAAAAGATACAATATGTGGAGTATCTGAATGTATTATAATGGGTATACCGATACGTATTGGTACTGGCATATTTCAATTATTGTATAAGTAAGAAAAGACAGAAAAAGGATATTTTTATTAGAAAAAAAACAAAAAAACTTTCTATTTGTTTTCTTTTTAGACATCCAAATCGAGGAAGTTTAACGCAACGAGCGCTATTATTTGATAATCTTGATATGCACCAACCACTTGTTGTTTCTTGACGCGTTTTATTTTCTTCTTCTACTGTTTTTTTTTTCTTTGTGATATTTTTTCTATCCGTAGGAAAAATAAATCTGATGTTTTTTTTTTACATTCTAGATGAGTGCTATTAAACATACAAGAGTTCCGCCACCAATACCAGCGGTAATCGTTCTTTTCTTTTAAAGTTTATATTTAAACCATTTCTTTATATAGAAACCAGGTTATGTTTCCATTGTTAAAGCTTTGTATGACTATACAGGTAATGATGATTTTCTTGTTTTTAGAGAGGAAGAATTATTGGATTTTATTATTTAGCACGTTCCCCGGAAGAATTGTCATTTGAAGAAGGTGAAATTCTCTATGTAACCGATGATGCAAAATATAAAGATTGGTATTTGGCTACAACAAATAAAAATCGTACAGGTGGTTTGGTTCCGAAAAATTATGGTAAAATTATATTCATTTAGCTTTTGAATTCGATCGATATTCTTTTTAATGTTTAGTTGAACAAAGTACAGAAAAACTTGCCAATGCATTACATGATGCAGCTAAACGTGGAAATATCGAATTTCTTCAACAATCGCTGGCGAATAAGGTACTAACTAAATAGACAACGGTGATAAATGAGAGCACTATTTTAATCTAGACAAGCACGTAGAGAAGAACTGTAATCGCTTGTATGACTCTACGGGCACCGTTTACGTGGATAAAAGAGAATTTATTTAAAATACAACAATGCTTTTCTTATGTATAATATAGGCATCGGTTATTGGTCTTGATAAAGCAGGAAATACGCCATTTCATTGGGCATGCTATTCAGGTGATATGGATTGTGTAAAATTATTGTTACCTCTTTCATTATCAATTATTAACCAAAAGGTATTGTTTTACTCAGAAAATAAAATCAATTACTCGCAATTTAGATTTCTATCTTATAAGATTCAGCAGCTAGCTATACACTATGTGTAGAAAAGTGTTTGGACTAATAATAGCAAAGAAGAAGGTTTCCGGTTGATTTCTATATTTTCTACGAGAGAGCATTTCTAAATATTGACTCTATGATAGCTTTTGTTCTGCTGACTGAAATCTATCTACTATGTGAGTTCACTCGGCATTTCGTACTTTTGATAAATATGCCAAAAAGTAGATTAAAATGTTTTTCTTACATCAATTGTTCAAAGAAAATTTCATGTATCTCTTGTATTCATTTAGAACAACGTTGGCGATACACCTATGCATTTAGCTAGTTGGAAAAATCATGCAGACGTTGTTCAAATTCTCATAGAAAATGGTAAGAAAACAACAATTTTTTAATTAAATTTTCACTATTATTTTATTATATATCAGGTGCTGATAAAGGTATCCGAAATGAAGATAATAAAACACCACTTGATCTAACCCATGATCCAACTGTTCGATCATTCTTAGAAGACAAAAGTGATTATCGAATTCGTTAACATTTCTTATTTGTCTCGTTTTTCTTTTCTTTTCTTGTAGTTATTTTTTCCAATTACAAACAACGTAAAACGCAGCAGGGTGAAGATGGCAATGATGATAATGATGATTCCGATTGAACAATAAATCGAAAACACACATTTCATTTTCTCTTCATATATCGTCTCCATATGGCAACATTTCGTTTATATATATACAATACATTTCATAGAGATTCTTGTTTCTCTGGCCTTTTTTTTTATTTCATCACATTTACATATATATTAATAATTTCATAGCTAAATAAAACATCAAATAAAATACTCGTTGAACTGAACCTATACTTGATGATGGCGATGCTGATATTAATAAAAAACGACTATTTTCGTGACAGTCATCCGAATACCGCAGGCTATTTTCGACATTGATTGGTGGTATTTCAATATTGGTACAACTGCTCGCTGATGCGATGAAACTAGTTTTCATGGAGTGCAACGTTTGAATCTAAAGAAAATAGTCTTAGCAAATAAAAAAATGATTAGAAGAAGATAGTCGAGGAATTGATGAAGTGTGAAATACAGCCTAACTGTAACTATAGGATAATGATTTTAGGCCGCATTTCTCTTACGTAGTCTTTCGAAAATTCAGAAAAGATTATGTTTACAGATGCGTGAGAGGGAATGTTGTGTAAGTGGTATCCTATGTATCACTACGAGTGTCTAATCTGTAAACTTGTAGATCGCATGTAGAAGTTTTTTATTTACCAAACAGAATGCTTTTGATTTGTCGTAAAGAACAAGTGTACGTTGAAATCGACGATCTGTACGCCATGATGCAAGACAGCTACCTTTAATTGATGTAATCACTTGTACGTCGGGTACAAGTTCATGACGACAAGATGAAGTTAATGATAATTCACTTGGATTTATAGACTGACAACCAATCGACAAAGTCCAAATGCCAGTTGAACATGCTGAAAAGGGTAACGAGGATCGAAAAGTATTTAATGATTTGTAAACACCAATATGTGGACATGATCTATTCGATTTTGCCAGGGGTTCTAATTTAAAAAATAATTATTTAATAAAAGAATAGAATAGAAGAACTATTGACTTACTATAGAGAGTATAATGTATGTGATTTTCTTTACAGTGATGTTTATCAAATCCTAAAATGTATTAATATGTTAAAAAATTTTGTTTCCTTTAACAATAACTACGTTTGAAATTTGACTTTCGCAGTCCGTATTATATGTTATGCAGAAAAAACTCCCTAAATTCTCTGATATCATCTTGGAATTTAACTCTTATTTACCTATGGAAAGATCGACAACAGCTGAAGAGCGATAGATTAATTTGATGCAATAAAATATCGATGAACTAAAAATCAACGGTATGATTTATTTTATTTTATTTTTTCATAACTCTTTTACCATTGGTCTAAAGATTTGGCTCGAATACGAATAATTTTTTCATGCCGTTGTACAATACGTAGAAATTTGAGATCGTGCTTAATTATTTGATTGTCTTGTATGTTCATTGTAAGTTGACTTTGATTGATATGAAATGAGTTCGTCTTGATGCGATCTATTCCTGTCGATAACCATATGCCTTGCGTCCAATCTGGCATTTGAACATTTGATTCATAATGTTTATCTAAAAATTAGATTATCGACTGTTTATATTCTGTTTCTCTCTTATGAAACTATTTACTTGATTGAACATTTAGCATAAGAGCTGATTCTCTTGTTAATAAACCTCTACAAGTTTCATCTTCAGATAAATAAACTTCATTTGGTAAGGAACTGTTTTCATCAATTTTCGTTCTTGTATATGACTAAATTATAAAATAAATAAACTATCGATGGAATAAATTCCATAACTTACAAAACAAATAAATCTTTGCTGATTTAAACTTCGAGATATAATATAATTCATATTCCCATCGGAAAATTGTGCAAAACATGTGGCGATTTCATCTATATTTTTTTTATAATAAATTTTCTTTCGAAGAAACTGATAGAAAAAACAACGAACTAAACCTGTATTAGATCGACATTGATTATTATACGAAATTTGGAATGTATTTATTGAAAAACAATTATGAAATGCTTTCGGTTGACATAATGAGGATAGCCGACGACTTTTTTTAAAATACCAAGATTGATCCAATGGACATGAAATTGATTCAGCATTATCTATAATAAAAAATAAAAAGAAGCTGTCAGGTTGATAATCACTTAAGGATTAACATATGCAATACAACGTAGCTACGAGTACTAATCACTGACTGATTATTTTATTCTGTCGATTTTCTTTTTGAGGCACATTTCTTTTACTTAATCCTTCATCAATGCAATCAGGAAGTAATTCACACAGTAGAACGAGACAGTATTCATCTGTACGGTCTTTCATCATATATCAATTACGTCTGTCACGGTCGGCGATAGACATTTCTCTGGTTATCTGTCATATCTATGATGAACCATTTCTAACCTGTCTGTCACGGTTTGTCATACTTTGTCTAGATGTACAATATTCTGGTACGATCATTTTTTACAGGAAAAAAACAACATTCAATTTTTCATCTCGTTTTCTTTTTTTTTTTGACAGAATGATCGAATGGCGCCGGGAGCTGTATTCATTTCCTGTGTTTATCTAGGTCAACGAACATGACATGTCGACCAGTGTCTCGCCCATTCATAAGAGAATATTGTTATTCCCCTATGGACTAGTGGACTTTTCTCTCTCTCTCTCTCTCTCTCTCCTATTAATGAATATGAATTTTGATGGACCCATTAGAGTTTATTTTTCAGAAGTCTGTTCTTACCCCGGAAGAGCGTATACAAGGCTGTGTCCGGTGTAATCGACGCACAAATACGACTATTATCATCATCAGCATCGAAGCATTCACCTAGAAAATAGACAAATTGCGATTAACAATAAGAGAAACATTGTAAAAACAAAAATTGTATAAAATATCTATCATGTTCTATTTCGATTGTTGTTAGCGGAAATACGTGACTATCGTTTGTAGATGAAACATTGCATGTGTATTTATACATATGCCATATGCATATATTGATCGATAGCAATTCATAATTATAATGACATGATGATAGATTTTCTTGTTCTGTTTGAACAAATAACTATACATACTTTCTCGATATTGCAATGCATTTAAATGTCTTGGAATAAAAAAGATACAGCGTTTACATCGTGTTTGCCTAAGAAGAAAATAATGAAATTTTTCTTTTTTCAAAATATCGTGATGAGATAATTAAACCTACTCATTATAATATATATATTTATATTTGACATCATGTTGTCCATTTAGACACGTGCCTTTCGATGAAAATAATGTATTATTGATTGTTATTGAATCAAGAAGACCCGGTTGTATCCATAGGCCAATAAATGATGAAGAAATAGAACACGACGATGATAATAACGACAATGATGAAAGACCTAAATTAAATTTTTCGAATTATAATCAATCATGACATTTGACTAGAATTCATGTCGAGTATTAGTAACAATTTATCACTTTGAAGTGACAATGAAACAATATAGAAAGATTTTTCTATACGTGTATCATGACCTTTTCTTTGTATTTATTAGATACAAGTAACTGACCAGTAGTGTCTCAAAAAGCACTTGAACGTTTTTTTCTTCTTCTTTAACTTTGTAAATAACGCAAGCGCATAATCCTAATAGATACATAGACTAATTTAGAAGATTTCTTTTAGCTAAATGTGTCTATCCAATAGAAAAGATGAAAGAACAAGTGTAATGCGGAAATTGAAAAATGAATGAACATTTTAATATAAAATGGTTCAATAAATCTTTTGATCGATACACTTTTCCTTCCTAGAAAAAAAAAAAATTTTCAGACTTACCGAAAGTTGTTAACATAAATAGAATATAAAAAATCTTATAGTAAATCATCATCAATAATCTTCATCGTTCGATCTATAGAAAACATCATTGATTGCTTGATATCTAGAAAAAAAATTTAAAAAAAATCCTACTACTGTCTGTCAGCAAAGCTGAACAAATAAATTGAGATCTATCCTGATTCCATTTTCTATACATCTGTTACGCTTGTGACATTGTCTACTGTAATAGAAACTATCACAAAGAGCTGTTTCACAGAAGTAAACTTAATCGTGGTAATAAAAAAAATGAATGAAAAAAAGCGAGGCGATTTTGTTCATCTTCATTCAACGAAGAGAACGCGATCGAGAGAAAGAGAAAGAGAAAAAGAAGAGGATGAGTATTCAATCTCTATATGTAAGAGAAAGAGAGAGAGGGAGAAAAGAAAACGACTGACCATGGTTACAGTATCGTTTTCTATATGCTACAGGTTATAATTATTAGCTAATGGGACTTAGTTTCATGATCGTCTGTCCTTTAGCTGATCAAATACACAGTGTAAAAGAAATTTGAAACACGCACACACATGTGCGTGTTATACTACTAGTCTATATAGATGAGAAATGGTATTATCATTATTCGATTCGCTGTCATTCCTCTTTTTAATTGATATAGTTGAGATACCCTAATTAGACTTCGTCTTCCTATTCATTAAAAATTTATTGATAGAGAAAATCCGCCTGTAAGAAGAGTATGAAGGAGAAAAAAACACCTTGAGACGAATAAAGTTACATGTAACGCACGATTAAATCTCTATTTTGATGTATCTTTGTCTTAGATAATTAAATTTGAGCTGTTATAATTTTGTGTCCTTGAAGAAAATGATTAATGTAGACAAATAATCGTCCTTGGTTATACTAATTTGAAATAGACAAACATCTGTCTATATAAAAGTATGTTTCATAGTTTTTGAATCGTCGATCATCCAATGACTTTACTGTTGCTGGATGATTAAATTTATTTGGAAAGCAAAGCGAAGTCGAACTTAGTGACATATGATTATATGGTTCGTTTGGTTTCTTTTATCAGCTTGACGCTGCATGTTGTGATAGAATAAAATTATTGATGTGTTAAATGAACGAAAGTCATTTTAGCTTTTATTGATTAACGCTTTAAGTAGAAGTCATCTTAATGTGAATACTAGAGAAAAGAACTAATCTATTTAAGATTTTTTTCGTAAACATATTTGCGTGATGTGCGATTAGAAATGAAAACAACTAAGGAGTAGTATTTTTTTTTCTATTTAATTAACAAAGAAGAAAACAGACACCATAGCCAACCACTCAGAGTGTGGTCGCTTCCCTCCTTGCTACGTCACAATGGACACAACAAAGTGCGATCATCAAAGGAAGCAGGCCGAGCTCTCGAGAAGAGAGCAGCCCCATCCTACTTCACGCTCAAGAAGAACCACTGCCACTCATCATCGTGGGTTGTTTGGGTCTTCTTTGGCTATGGGTGTTTTGTCGATATGTACTACAGAAAATGATCCTGTGAAGTACAATCTTAATGTTAACACTGTTCGAACGTAGCGTATATAGGCGGTCAACAGCCAAACATTGCACAGTACCACTCTTTTTGTTTTTCGTTCTATATAGGCTGTCTATCAACACTAAACAAAAGAAAGAAAGAAAATGGTATAGCTACATGTAAGCCATGATTCGTTATGACTTTATAGCTAGATTTTTTTCTCAATAACAAGTGTCTCGGAAATAAATAATATGTAAGAATAATCTTGCAATGATCTAATTTTTCTTTACTACGCAGCATAGTTGTGTATAATGCACTTGTAGATATTTGATTTCAGGGGCGGCGGAGCGTCATTAAGCTAGGTGAGGCTCAAGCCTCATGGGTGTCAGTGACTTCGCCGCCACTGTTTGATTTGATGATTCATTAAAATTTCAAATGAATTAAACATAAAACTTCGTAAGTGAATATACGATAAATATTAAGATATTCAAAATCGGAAATTCGAGCATTTTAAATTATAATAATTGGATAAAGTTCATCATGTTCAGGGTTATCAAATTCAAATTTTAGAAAATCAGTAAAAAATCAGGAGTTTATAAGGGGTACTTTTTGTAGATATTGAACAGTCACTCGATGGTTTTTATCTGATAACAACCCACTTCTCACTAATAGACACATTAACCTGTTTTCCTAATGAGATTGATGCTGAAAAATATCCTTGCAGGCGAATTAAAATTGTAAATGCAATGCTGCTTTCATAAAGTTTATTTCAATTGATAATTAAAACGCGTTATTAGAATAGATGAAAAATAGAAAATCAAAATCTATAAATACGCAGTAGAAAAAGTTATACGATAGATTCTGTTTCAAAAAATTCGGTTCATTTAAAAGGTAATAATAGAATCGTGTGCAAGTGAAATGAGTGTTCATTTTAATCTTTAACTCAGCTTATTGGTTTCTATATGTTTAACGTTTCCATAGATTTGTTTTATTTCTCTTTAAAACCGCTATAGATTCAAAATGTCACTAATCGTCACAAACAAAAAATCAGGAGATCTCTGGTCAAAACAGGAGGTTTGGTAACCCTGATTTTAATTAAAAGAAATTCGATATCAATTAGAATCGTAGGTCGACTTTCGTTTTTACTGAAAAATGACCATATCTTGGAGTTTTTCCCGAAATGATTTTTTCTAAATAGAATTCAATGATTTCTATTCAACCAACACTAAAAAGTACTAAATTTATGGTTTGCCATCGTCCTTATGTACATTTTCAATGCATCGAATTCGAATATCTCCACTCATCGAAGTTTAAAAGAAGTCTATACTTATAATTTCTTAGTTTCTTAATGAAATCTTCAAGCGGATGAGAGTTCATCCAGTCTTGTCAAATCACAACGTCAAAATCTACATTACAAGCGAATAAAATATATTGTTCAGCTCATGGTATATTTTCATCTCATGAAATTTTTAAAAAGAAAACAAACGAAGTAATACGCCTGTGCACTGGTCAACAAGAACGATATAGACGAACTTTATTTATATGTTTTATTTATTGAAAAATTGTACGCTTGTAAAGATGTAAAATTTCTGAAATGCAATGCCCAATACAAGGATTATATGTTCATCCTCATCTATGTCCAGGAGCGTAAATAGGGGGGGGGGGCGAGTGGGGCGTAACGCCCCCCTGCTTCCAAAATTTTCATTTTTTAGGTCATGAAAACAGAAAAATTAGAGTTACGCCCCTGTCTATGCCTATTCCTAATTGCTAAAGCTTATGCAAATACATCTTCAAGAAGGATGATAACGAAAAGGAGAGACAAAAAAATGTGTGTATAGGATATTTCTATTGTGAACACGCAAAATGTTCCCTGTTTACGAATCATGCTGGTTGCAGATATAAATATTTTCTAAATCGCTAGTGAGAACGACGCAAATCATTGGCAAATACTTAGTTCACAAAGCATGATTCATAAATATTTGTCTATCATGTTACTCTAGAATCTATGCATTATGTTTTGCAACTAATTATTTGTCCTTCATGCTCGCTGATTAAGAGAACGGATGTCAAGGAAACACTATCTCCAATGTACTTTTGTAAATGTAATTTTTCTTTTGATTACTTTTTATTATGTATTTAACTGTTTCGCGATAGGAAATATTCTATGAACTTATGATTATAACGTATATGAATATTTGTCATATACATAATATTTCATTATACTTGTTTGAGAACTTCATGTTGTTATTCAGTCACGCTATAGGTGTTAGTTTTCTTCTTCACATGAAATCTCTTTGTCTGTGGCACGATCAAAAAGTAGATGCTTGAGCGAGAGAGAGAGAGAGGGGTAGTAAATAGAATATTATTATCTTCTCACTCTTTTTTCTATTTAGTTGGCAATTTTAGAATACAAGTCACATTCGAAGTTCTTCTGCTTTTTCTTTTCTATGAACAAAGTGGTGGCGTAGCTAGTTATTTCTTTCAAAATGTTATTCGCGAATGCTTTCAATTTATGGTTTTGTATTCTACTGAACATTAACCGAGTGCCAGGTAAAACTAAATTGATGCTTTCTTTTTCCTCTTGTATAAAAAAGCGGACTTACATTTAACTGTGAAATCCTCAATATCTATAGCAGCATTTTAAAAAAACGTATTTCGTGATCTTCGCCGAACTAGATTCAGAAATAGGAAAAAAACTTATCCAAAAAAGAAATGCTGAATATGTTAAGAGGACATTTGACTAGTTCGAATATTTTTTGGGCGTATCTATATGATTTCATTGTCATTTAACTGAATTCTAATCTTTTGGTAACTTGCTAGGGAACAGTGCCATTTCGAATGAGTGAACTTCTGGATAAAACATGATAAATTCTATTTAATCTTGATGACATTACTACACAAGATACTTCTTTTTTTGGTTGCAAATAGATCATCATCTCTGACATTTGTTTACGTGCTTTTAATTTGTGTATCTACCACCATTGCATCGATTCATGTATATTTAATGAATGTAAACTGGCAAAATACTTCAAAGAATTTAGAAACAAAACGATTGAGACCAAAAATAAGAATTTTCAAACTATTTTAAAGTGACTTACACATGTCTTACATCTGTCTTCTTGCGTATGCATCACCAAAATTCTCTGTTTGATAGTCATTTTTCTATGTCCATTACAAGTCCTACTGGGATGGAATCAATGTATTCTATAGCTATGTGACCGCTCCGATCTATCTGTTCCATTGAGTATTGCAAATCTAGCCGACAAACGACTGAGAAAGCATTGGCTAAATCGCTGAGCACATTGCTATTCTCGTTAAAGTCAAACAAATAGTTTATTTAAACGAGATATATCTACGATTTATTCCAAAAATGCTACGATCTAGAAAAAATTGTGATCCAAAAGGGATACTAATTTTCTTCAAAGGTTGTGAGTAGGATGGGCTGTTAGAATTGAAGTTTTTGAATGCCACCAACTCTAAAATGTCCCTAATAGGAATTTTATAAGAAGACCCTTGGCACTCATGTTATTGATTTCAATATCAATATTAAGTAGATATGAATCAATTATCGTCGACCAAGCTTTCGAAACCCTCGAAATTCAGACTTTTCATTCATTTTAGACTTGAAGAGTTGCGAAATAATCAGATAGAACTGTCAACGTATAGAATACTTCTCATATCGTAAAATAGTTAAATTCGAATTCGATTTGATTGACAAAATTTTTCCAGGATAATACGTGACCAAGTTTTTTCTTTATTAATGAATTCATCTTTCATTACAATGCATCGGTACATCATTAGACCCCTTAAATCGAATTTCCTCTTGAAAGAGCTAGCTACTTCATTAATGAGAACAATGCCGAATCCTGTTCTCCTCCATAATTTACCTATTTTTACTGTTGATATCCTAGTCAGATGCAATAAAAATAACTCTTACGTTTGGTAAAAATAAACACAGATATCAGTTCATGCTTATAAAGCAATTGACTGACATAATTTTAACGAATAACTATATTTTGAAGCATGATTCAGTCGTTGATATCCAATTTTCTTTACATCCATCGAAAGACTTCAATCCACTTGCAGGTCAATCATTCAATCAACCAACGCTCTCTTCATGTGCATCGTGGAACTCAGTTGGTGTGACTTTCGCTGACAACCGCACGATCACACCTGGAAGCCAAGGCATTTTTGTTGATACCAACAATACCGTTTACGTGGTTAATCAAGATGATAGCCGAATTTTTGTTTGGCTTGAAGCCAGTAATACTCCGTCGAGAGAAATCTCCGTTGATTCTGGATTTCACTTCAGCTTATTCGTCACAAGTAATGATGATATCTATGTTGATCATGATGATAGTAAGCGAGTCATAAAATTGGCTTTGGGTGTTAGTACTACCGTGATGACTGTTGGTGCATCATGTACTGGAGTCTTTGTCGATACTAATGATACTATTTACTGTTCCATGCGTGATCTGCATCAAGTTATAAAGCAATCACTAACAGATAGTTCAAGCAAACCTGTAGCTGTTGCGGGTACCGGTACTGGTGGATTAGCTCCAAATATGCTCGATCAACCTTACGGAGTCTTCGTTGACAGCAATTTTAATTTGTTTGTAGCAGATTGTGGTAATCACAGAGTTCAGCTCTTCGAACCTGACCAACTGATCGGAGTAACATTGGCAGGCACAGGATCAAATGGGAGCCTCTCACTCAAATGTCCGATAAGTATCATGATGGATGCCGACGGTGATCTATTCATCGTCGAGCGAGGTAACAATCGAATCATCAGATTGAGTCCAAACGGAGATGAAGATGTAATTATCGGAGGGCAGGGATCAGATCCTAATCAACTAAGTGGGCCAGTCAACGCCGCTTTCGATAGTTATGGTAATATTTTCGTTGCTGATGTATACAACAACAGAATTCAAAAATTTTACTTGGCATCAGATTCGTGTGGTATGTATAAAAACTATTGTATACGAGATCAGCCAATCACAAGAGACCATCTATACTTACATTACTGTTTTCTGACTGAATATTAGTGAAATTTTATACAGTTTTTCTGCAACAAATAATATGCTCATCATTTTTAAACTTATTTTCATTTGTTAAGCATCGATCAATCTCGTGTCTCTCGTAAAGTCTATCTACTACCTCAAGAATGACAAACTGACTATAGTCGGTATGGATTTTATTTAGGTCAATTTTTTTCTTAATTGACATACCGATTTTCATATTATTTGCAGAATTCAGTCTAATAAAGACGTGCAGTTTTATCAGGACTATTCGTTTCGAAAAAATTGATTAGATGAGATCTACCCTGGTAAATAAAATACTGTATGTGAGAGTACTTTTGTACGAGTACCAAACGACGCGTGTACATCATTCATTTATCACTATCACTAATGTTTTGAATTTGTGTTGAATTTCAGTTATTGCGTGAGTCTACACTACATTCAGTACGTGATTCGTCTGACTAAATAACCCCATTTTGATCGAAAAGGAAAAAAAGAGGCAGCTGCAGTTTGTAACCCTGTATAAGATTGTGCGAAAGGAAAATAATAGTATCCAAAACTTAAAACTAGTAAGACATGTATCTATAAATTCGTTGATAGCATCACTCGGATTCACACAGTTACACACATAGAGTTGTCTTCGAGAGATATCTTGCAAAAGCAATGGAGAACTAGATAGAAGCGAACTTACTACATTTCGTTTTTCTTTGGCTACTGTTTTAATGAGTCAGACGTAATTCAAATTCGTTTTTTTTTCAGTGAAGAGAATTCTACTTCGTACTATGTGAGTCTCAGTAGTAATACTCTTCTATTTGGCAAATCATCCAGCAAGCGCAGGTGAATTTAACCGAACTATGATTAGTCTATTTGAAAAAATTGTTGCTCGAAATACGATAAGTAGACGAAACACAAAGCTATTTTCAGATTGCAGTGAAGCAAAATGCTAGTCATCAACAACAAATGGAGGAAAGATCGTTCATATCTACGATATATATAGAAGTAATCTTCACACCAAAAAAATGTTCGGAATTTCAAAACTAACTCAACATTAATATAGGGCATTATATTATTCACAAAGCGTTGTTAATCACTTATATACCAATGATGAAATATAATGGAAACTCTTTTAAGATCCCTTTAAAATCTCAAATCTTTCAAAACGGTACCCTACAAAATAATTCTGTATTTGCTTTGAGATTGAAAATAATTGTCCAACCTGTATTCTTGATTTCAAGATACAATGTGCAACACTTTTTCTCGTAGAAACTACAGAAATCTCTACAATGACGACTGAAATCACTACAACGACTGAAAGCGCTACAACGACTGAAACCACTACAACCACTACAACAACTACAACCACTACAACGACTGAAACCACTACGACGACTACAACAACTGAAACTACTACAACCACTACGACGACTGAAACCACTACGACGACTACAACAACTGAAACTACTACGTCCTCAACAGCCACCACAACGACAACGACAATGACAACGACTGCAACCACCACTAAATTGCCCGGTATAGTATCTTAATCAGAAGCTTATTAGTGATAAACCAGCTAATGAGATGCTATAGTGACCAAATTTGATAGAGTTTATTATCAACAGAAATGCGATGCGATGAATACACAAATAATGGTGTGTTGTCAAAAAGTAGTATTTCATTTAAAGATGATTCCTACGAGAGAACATTTGCGTCACCTTTTCTTCTTGAGAAAAATACCTGTGCATCATGGTGATAGAAAAAATATGAGTCCAATCGCTGACTTGCACATAGAAGTACATAGATCGGTAAAAAATTGCTTAAAGCATAATGGTGATGACATTGAAACCAACAAGATTTTCCAGAGACAGCAGCTTGTTTTCTCCTCACAACCTGATCCCCCAGTTTAATCTGATATTTCATATAGATAATTTGTCAGTCAGATAATTCTAACGAATGCTTTTATTTCCGGTCAATTGTTGTTATAAATCAAATTGTCATCGAACTGATGAAAAAAACATGTAAAATGATAAAGTATCATCATAAATCTCGACATATTTAAAAACAATAAGAGTATTGAATTTGAGTTTTTCATGCATTCGGCGACTGTAAAGCATCGCTCTCCTTGCGATAATAATTTTAAAAAGTTTCCGATCTATATGTTTAACATTACAATGTGCTATATCCATTCAGATTTTAAAACTATTTTACGTTTACAATAGCGTTGGTGTGCAACAAAAATAAATCTTCTATTTCTCTCATGATTACAAATTGCAGTAGACATATGTATTACAGTCTATGTCAACGATTATGTTATCATGAAGAATTCGAATCAAAAAAACTACTTACTAATATTTCTTACAATATCTAAAAATTGTGAATTTTAAACCTATGTAAAGCGCTAAAAGTTTGAAATGAATTCAAATTTTTGTGGGCAATGCTGTCCATCTTTAAATTTGTTTTGTACTTATTTCATCTCAAAAAAGAAGTTTCAACCAGTGTCCTAATTTTGATGTGAATAGTTGCCATACAACAATAATGAACATATTCAATAGTTAGTATTCTGTAATTTTCAGGATGTCTACCTCCCACCATCAGACTGGTGCCAAATGCATCTTCAACAGCACCAGTGCGCTTTTTTCGAAGTGATGACTTCTACATCTTGTCCAATATGCTACTAAGATGTGATATGTCTGCCGCAATCACCACAAAATGGGCACTTCACTCTTGTAATACCACATGCTCTTCGCCAATTCAAATCGATGAACTGATTCATGTCAACTTCAATGACTTATTTATTCCTGCACGAACTCTTCCGTACGGAGTCTATCAATTGACGTTAACAGTGATAATGGAGGCTGCAACTAATATAACCTCAACAGCATCTACTTATGTCATGGTTATTCCTTCTGGCATCCAAGCTAATCTTATTCAAATGGGTACCTCATTGGTCACACGACGCTATCAAAAAAACTTCGCACTCGATCCGGGAACGTTTTCAACGAATCCAGATGAAGTTCGTTGGGACGCAAGCGTAAGTTTCATTCTATTTGTAGATATTTATCACTATAAACTTGCTTGACAGGATTGGAATTATGCGTACTACTGCACAACTGCAAGTCTTTTCAGCTCTTCACAGCTCATGACATCTCTTTTACCGATTGATGATCCAAACTATATGATTCAGAATACATCGTGTTTCAAAAATAATTCAGGTACAAATCACATTTGAAACTAATAATTTTTCATCATTTAGGAAACGAAATAGAATGGGAATACAGTTCGAATGTGTATTGGAAATCGACTTTAACCATTTTTGCTCAAGCCCTGAAACCTAATAAAACCTATCAATTCATCGTAAATATGACCACCAAGTCCTATCCTATTCAACAAGGTGTAGGTTATCTTTTGGTGCATATTGAGGATAATGAGAGTCCTCTAATTACTATTGCGTAAGTCATCTAAAGTGTAAAAATGAGTTCATCAAGAGTAATTCAACCCTATTACTAGATGCATTATTTCAAAAATGTGTGCTGTGAAATTCGGCGAATTTCGTAATCTTAATCCAACAACACAATTGGCCTTATATTCTACTTGTGGTGAAGATTGTTCAACAATTCAACAAATAAAATGGCTCGTATATCAAGGCTTTATCAACGCATCGCTGAATACTGTTGAGTGGATTTTATTCGATTCAAACAGTACAAATCACGACAATATGTTTTTTGGTAAGTTTCGAAATGATGAATAAATCGTATCAAATTTTTCGTTCTAGGTATATCTACGGCAAATCTCACAGTTTCCAAGGATATCTTCGAACAAAATCCTGCAGTCCAGTTTTGGCGCTTCAAAGTTCTCTATTCATTTTCTTCAACGACAGCTTTTAGTGTACTCAGTTTCAAGGTCAATCAAAAGCCTCGAAACGGTTCTTGCACAATAGATCCACTTAATGGCACAGCAGAAACTCTATTCACGGTTGTTTGCTCGCATTGGTTCGATGAAGACGATATTAAATATTATTCGCTGTATGGTACGTGACTAGACATAAAAAAAAGACTGAATAGAATTAAGAGTACCGTAGAACGAACAAAAGATTAATGAAAAAGACAAAACTGTTTTTATCCGAAGTTTACAAATTCTTTACTAGTATTTTTTCATAATTCTTCATCTGAAACATCTCACTAGAGCTGTATTTTGGAAATTCATCAGAACTTTGTATTCATAGCTTGGAACATGGATTCCTCCCATCCTATCATGCTCGGCTATTCTTACGAGCCAACTTTTCAAATTCGTTTGTCTGCCGGAAATCATTATGCATCATCACAAAACATCTCAGTTCACATTCGAGACAAACTCGATGCTGTAACGCAATACAATTTGCCATCTGTTATTATTCTAAACGACGAGACAGAAACCGAAATGTTCAATAGTGCTACGCAATATCTAAGCAAGGCAAATAATAGCGAAACTTTTGTTCAATCATTAGCCAGCGATTATCAATGTACGGTCGAACAGGCGATTGCATTATTCAATCAAATACTTCATAAGTTGAACACAAAAAACATAGAATTAGCATTGAAAGGTAAGTCATCGTGTAACTAAGTGACTTTATTTTTAATTTTTTTCTTCTAGAAGGTATTTCGATGGAAAATATTTTAGTATCGTCTCTGATCGACCAATTACATACGAACGTAAATGTTAGATCTCATAAAGAAGAGCTTTTGTAAATTTTGTTTTTATGTTTGATTAGTCTAACAAATCCTCGACCTCTTCGGCTCTGTCTGATTACTTTACACATTTGAATCTTCAAGCTAATGTACGTGATCGACTTGTAACTTACATGCATAATCTTCAAATGATGAGTATCGAAAATATTCAATGGCAAGCATCTTCATTGGCTCAATTTACTGCAGCTACAAATCAATTGACACGAGCAGCTTCTGTAAAAAAAATGAATTAATTATTTAATTTGTTGATCATTTTGTTTTCGTTGCTATTACAGTTACGAGCATCGGATAAGTGTCACCAATTGGCGTTTTCTCTAAAGAGACTAGCTAATCAAATTTTGTATGAAGACGTGAGAGCAACAAGTACTGAAATCATCAATTGTATCAACAATGCTTTGACTGTAAAAATGAATGATTCACTTATAATTCTATAATTATTTGAGCTAATTTTAGGCTATTAATGCGCCACTACAAAATCGAGCAAGTGTTCTCGATCTGGATCTCATTCGTTCAAATGTTATTTCAGTTGATTATGAAGATGATGCAGAAATAGGATGGGCAGATCCAAGTGAGATTTCATTGTTTTTCACTGCTATATCCAATCGCGATTGCAATTATCTACACATATGTAGGTTTGTTCGCTAATGGAGATGAGTTTTCATCGAACTCGTTTGAGATGAATCGAAATAGTTTCTTTCAAAAACGAACGGTAGGTAGTATAACATTAGAAAATATTTTAAATATTTTCCGTTCATATCTATAGGTAGAGACAATAGCTCAGCAAGCCAACGAAGTCATATCTTGGATAACCGAAGCACTCAGCATACATTTAACTCAAGATCAGCATGCAACCATCAACACATCGTCTGTGTTTTTCTCGTTAGAAATAACGACAGCTGCCTCACTCTATGGAAAGCCTATTCGACCGATTGGACATGCAATGATTCAATTTCCTTCAAAATTCGATTTTAATATGAATCCAAATACAACAATGTCGCTTCGAGTAAGAAAATTCTATTTCCTCATTCATGCTTGACATATGTTCTATCTATTCTAGACTATAGTACAACCTCTTGCGCCGGCTGGTAGTTCTCAATCACGAGCATATACCAACTTTTCAGCATCGATATCACTCTCAGTACTCAATAGAGACGGTAGCGTTATTCCGATTCGTAATAATACTGAAGATCCAATAGAATTTATTATTCCTCGCGATTCGAACTTTCGTGTTCCAACAATGAATTTACAAAATGTGACATCGGCAAAAAATAGCGAAAATCAAAACTTTTATCTGCATTATGTTAACATAACACAAGCAAACAAAAATCTTAGTATGTCTCTTCATTTTGAAATGCGCCCACTTGATAAAGATCTAGCTTATCTATTCATCTATCGATTTGATCGGCCGCCTCAACTAAACACTTTAGTTGATCACACTGACGGGTCAGCTCTATGGTGTACGCTTGGTGAGTCTGTTTTGATGAAGCAATCAGCTATTTTTTTTATTACATATTATTCTATTCAGATTTAGCCAAAAATGGATACTATTCACTTTTCATCGACAATCATCGAACCGCAGAACATCATTCAGTTGTATTTGGCTTGCGAGAATTGAATTCGACAGAAACCGAACAATACTGTCAATATTATTCCGTTAACAATGGTTTACCACTGTCTGATCGAGCATTCAATTTCACAGCAAACTATGAAATAAGAGTATATCAATCTGGCTGTTTCTATCTTGATTCGAATAATAATTGGCAATCGGATGGTTTGTCAGTTAGTATGCAAATCAATGTGCAACATAACTAGGCTAGTTTTGCTTTTTCTAAGGTTGGACCGAAGACGAATCATAATCAAACGCAATGTTTCTCAACGCATCTTACAACATTTGTCGGTTGTTTTCTCGTTTTATCCGTTTCGACTCATTGGAATTGCTTGCTGTCTGATACCAGTTTTCAGAAAACTAAAACATCGTATATGACAATCATAACTGTTTGTATTATTTATTATTTTCTATTCGTGTATGCCCGCTTTAAAGATAGAGAAGATGCTGACAAAGTAAACAAACATTGTTCACATGCCTTTTAATCCTATGAAATTTCTAGTTGTGCGTTTCTGATATTCTTCTTGCAAATTCATACTCTTATGAAATCGTTGTTTTTATGAGTCGACAGAAGAGTGGTGATGTTGAGTTGAAAGTGAGTAGTTATATTGATACTTGTTTTCTATGATTATGAAAATTTTCTCAAAGATTCATTGTATTCCTGATGGCAACGATACGACCCGTATTGATATATCGGCTGCACATCGTCATACAATTATAAGGTGTAGTAGAGTCAATACCTTCGTGATGACTGTTTCAAAGTAAACCGCCATCCATTCTTTTTTGATTTCTCATATTGGAAATTTCAATGGAAATTTTCAGAGTACTCAGTTCATTGAATCCTACTCATGACTGGTTCACCGATAAGTATCGAACATTATCAACAGCCTACTTCGTGGAGTCCATTATTGTGGATGATTTACGGAGAAAAAATCGATTATATTTGGAACAGAAGTGTGAAAAAGTATGTTTATATATTTTTTTATTTTCTATTCTGAGCTCATAATCGAATAGATTGAAAATTTATTTGCAACGAATAATAAGTATTCAACGCGTATCTACCATTCCATCTCTTCTGACAATTTTCCTCAATTTGTTTCAAATGCATTCACTCGTTCACAACAGTGTACTGCCTGTTTTTTGATATTGTTAACTACAATGTTTCTCAATCTTGCTTATTACGATCAATCGATTGAAACCAAGTCAGAGAATATGAATAATGATCTATCACTGGGTCCTCTCTTGATGATTATCAAACAGGTTCGGATATAATTACCTGCCCTTATGTTTGACTTCAATTGTGATGATATTTTTCAGATTGGAATCGGTACAATCATCGAAGTGCTTTCTTTTGTACCAATCATTGCAATGCTTCAGCCATCTGTGCGGCTTCAAGAGTCTCATATGTCATCACGAATGTAAATCTCGCATAATCTTTTACGTAAACTAATTTTTCTTTAAATATTTTTATCTCGTCATTAGTCAAATGAGTTTCCATGAAAAAAAGAACACGGGACGATTTTCATTGGTCTTTCTATGGAAATATATTGCTATGGCTTATAGTTTCCTACTGATATTTTTCATGTTCAGCCGAAATCTTGAATTCGATGATGCCCATATACGAAAATGGATAACATCGATCGTGACAGAATCTATTTCAATGGTTCTTTTCATACTTGCATTCAAAGTAACCTTTTGTATTGTTGTAAAAGTGCATTTGAACTCGATTGTTATAGATGCATTCGACTAAAGAAGATCAAGTAGCTATAAAATATTCTGAAAGAAGATATTTTAGTTTGATGGATAATGATCATTACTATTATTTGGTTCAGGTGAGTTGTTAATCGGTTGAAATATAACTCTAATGACGAATTTTATAGAATGATTCTCTTTTAACATGTACACTACGAAATTTTACCGATACTTCAAGTGAAATGAGATTAATTAATGGTGAAAGTCAAAGTCTTAAAAAGTTACCTATGTGGCTGTTATTTCGAAAAGCTATAATTTATCTGTGTGTTGTATGGACTGTTTATATGATTACCTATCAAGACTTCATCAAGGTGAGAATTAGTTGAATTCGCATTAATTTATTCTCTTGCATATATAATTAAAAATATGAGCAGCCTCCCATAACCGATCAATCTTGGCCATGGCTTAGAACCAGTTTCGTTTCAAATATTCAAGCTCAGCAAGCGTACGATAACGGTACAAATCGAAATTTGAATAAATCTATGAATAATAAGTCATTTCGATTGATGATTCCAGCAACTATGGAAGTTTCAAATAAAAATTCAGGTTCGTACTTTTTTTTTATTCTGTTTCAACACTCGAAACAACTGTCATAAATTTAGATTTACTTCGAATTCATAAATCTATTTCTTTTGTATATGAATCTGAATCAATAAATGAAGTAGTTCATTATTACAATTCCTCAATTTGCCAAAGTGTAATACATCAATCGCGTCAAAAAGATCGGACCTTCAATCACATAGAAACAGCGACAATTCAAAACGGCTCATACAAGTCAAGTGTATCGATGTTGAAATCTGTCAAACCTCCTGCTAAATTCCTATCAAGGTCAGGTGTTCTATCGAATAAAAATTTTAAATTATCTAGTTCTCATTCAGGATTTACAAGAACTATCGAAATTCAATGAATCCTTCGATTTGAATGTAACTGTATGCGGTGAAATTTAAATGGAATGTAAACAAGAGCAAGCTTTCAACAGAAAAAGAAATACTCTCTTCTCTATCAATGTTTACTTGATAGATGAGATGAAGGATCTATTCACGTTTCTAATCAAAATCGATTACTTCTTTCTATCAGTTAAGTTTATTGTTAACGCTTAGTTTTTCTCATCAAAACTTTTAAATATATTACCAGTGATCGTATTTTATTGATGCCAATCTTTTTTATGACTTATTTGTTTCTATCTGCTTTTTTGCGATCGAGCAATTTCACGCATTCTATTTTCTAGCGCACAATTTAGATGCCCAATGAGTGTCTATTATTGAAATTTAACATGGTTTGGCTCTGTATGTTTGAGTTTTTGGGTGTGAGCGTGAGGGTGTGGGTATGGGCTTTTCCATCATCGAGTACACACCCACACCTTCAAGATCGTATGGTTGCAACCTTTCAGTTTATGTGTCATCACCACTATCGAAATCAGAAGTTTTTGATTTGTCAACATGTAACTATGAATTTTCTGAAATTAGAATTTTTAGTTGCTTCTCTACTTGCATCAGAAAAATGGAGAAATCTGAGACTCACGTAAATTTATATTACTTTATCAATTTAAAGAATTCTAACGCAGTACAATAGGATGTTAGTTCATTCCTCTTAATAACAAAATTCTGATGAGCGAGTAGAATTTTGATGATAGTGAAACAGCAAGCTGCATTGGAAGCTCGACAAGATCTGAGAAGTACTCAAGGCAATGTTGAACAAGCCATTGAATTCATCATCGAAGTTAGCCAAACAAATGTTTCATCATAATCAGATATATCCCATCGTTCAGAACTGTCGAAAAGAAAAACTTCGTAAAGAAGAAGAACGGTTGCACAACTGTTATGGATTAACTCCGAATGGTCAAAAATTCATTGTCGGTCTACTGATTTTTTTATTTTCGATTCGATTCAGACTCAATATCAACTACGCGAAACACTTCGAATCGACGGAATATCCGAGTTGAACATGTGCTGAAGCATTGAAACAGTCAAATAAGCATCTAGAGGATATCACAGGAATTCTTTTGAATAATCCAGAATTACTCATCGCTACCTGTGAAGCAACGATCACTGATAACGATAACGATGATGCGACTCAAGCACAGAAGTCAGAACTTGTTGATAATCTGATCGACTTTGAAGTCTAGCCAAAAGTGGTTCAAGCATTATTAACTGTTCATTGAGATCAATTGCAACGTGCTGTCACTGATTATCATTTTCAGATGTTATATGGCAAGAGAGACGAACAACAGAAGAAAAGGCATTGGAATCCATTCTGTCAGACTTATTACGAGCGAGCCAGGACTTCGATGGTGAATAAGTTGATTAAAATGATTCAACTAATTATTTGAACTTGCTGTTAGCAGAGGAGGAAGATTTCTTCGGTCCGTATCGTCAACACTTGATTGATGATAGTTTTTATTGATCTATTGATACCAATAAACGTGCCTTGTCTGCATAGGTCCTACAATTCTTAAGAAACTAAGCTTTTTATTCTTGAATAAAGCAAATTCTTCTCACGAAATGACGGTCCACTTTCATTCTCATCAATGGGGCGGTATCAAAGGTAAGGAGGATAAATACAAAAGAGATCGAACCAGATGTTGTTGAATTCTGTATTGGATTGCTTTTCTTGTCAATGTAACTAGTTTAAGAAATAAGTAGATTGTATGTAAGATTCAAGATACATGTTTCAACCTTTCTCATCTGACAACGTAATATCATGTCATTCATAGAGCAGTGAACAACAGTACAATGGATTGGCCGTTCTAAGGCTGACGAGCACCTAGAAAATATTTGTTCATCTCCATTCTACGAAAGATAGAAGTTCCTATCGTACGATGCATTGAAAGTTACTTTTATTCTAATCATGCTCGGATGCAAAAAATACACAATGTAACAAAAAACGCAATCATTTCATCCAATCGAATTCGGAATCATCTTCAATAATATTATCATTTTTAATACCCAATTCAAGATACCACCATTTGTGCTCTTCAGGAATTCCTTCCAAGCAGGGTTTTTCCCGTTGATTCGGATTATGAAAATCGGTTTGAAATTCCCATTCATCCATTTGTCGATTGAGAAAGAACTGTTATCTTTCAAGGACATTCATCGCTTTGAGAAGTTCAGCTGTTGCGTTTGATGGCTGACTTTTCTCATATAGTTGCAAAAGATCGGCACGAATAAACTCGAAGACTGAAAGATATAGTTAATTCGAACTATTATATTACATACTTAAAGTGCGTAGAATATGAAATGAAACAATGGCCTTTGTTATAAAAGCACATGAAATTGAATGATTCAACAATCTCGTTGTCTAGATCAACGTGTCTACAATAAATAATTTAAAAAAATCTCAACAGCTGAACGAAAAGGTTTTTAAATTAGAATAAATTTTCTACAGAATATTCTTTGATTTTTTTCTATTTCTTAATCTATTAAGGTTACTCGCACTTTTCTCTACAACAATTGCTTTTCGCTCAAAATGAACTTCAGACTACCAAAAAAAAAAAAGAAAAAATCAAAGAATATTCTGTTGAGAATTTATCTCACGTGTACATCAAAGTGCATATTGTGTTAGATTCAACAAGCTACTTTGAATCCTTTCATTTGATAAGTCAATTCTCTTTTTGGCGTAGCTGTATTATAACCAGCTCAAGAGGAACGTTATTCTTTTTTACTAAACTACTATTTCCCTACTGAATTCAATCGTTACTCTACAGCGAATACATAGTATATAGATTCAAATCATGTGTAAAGTCTTTTATAAGTACCATTTATTGATATATTTTATGCCATGTGACTGTCAACTGTATCGATAGAATAAATCTTGTTTTTCGAAATTTATCCATTGAATGTTTCTCGTCTGGTTTTGATTTATTCTTCACAAAAGAAAAAAAACGAGCTCCTAGTTAAGATAGACAAATAATATAGAGAGACAACAACAAGTCTATGTTTGATTGAAATGAACAATTGATTTTTATTCAGCTGGTGTGCTTCTCCAAACAAGCCAAAGAGCATGAATACAGCCAGGCAATACTCCAAGGATAGTAAGAAGACTAGAAGATTATTTTATTTTTATTTCATTTTTCATACGAAACAACTTACATATTTAAGAAAAAATGCTTCGTACATCCAACTTTAATTAGAGCGGCTATTGGTGGGAAGAGAATAGCCAAAATCGACAATAAACTAGAGCAAGAGAAATAATAGTAACAAATAAAACTAAATAAAACTAATATGCATACAGGTTGCAAATACAGTCACACATGTTGAACTTAAGTTGCGTGTGTTAAGGAGTAGAAAATGAATTATCTGAATGAGGTCAAATTATTTCTTGTCCTTGAAAGAATCATTTATGAAAAAAACATGTGTATTTCGAAATGAAATAGACCAATGACCATTCTGCTCTGGCATTTTCTTTTTCTTTTTCTCTATTCTCTCGTCTAACTCGACGACACAACAGGGTTTTCTTTGACTAGATCGTTACGAAATAAAAAGAGACGATAAAGAGAATGAATACATCGATTAATTTTATTCTATGCATATATGCATACAACATATTTTAGTCTTCTCATAAAGAAATGGTTCCTTATATTTCTGGGTATAAGTTGAACTAATTTGCTGAGATCAGATACAATATGTTTTGCCATTAGTGATATATTAGGTGTAAGAAAAAAACACCTAAATAGACAAGTGAAATTATATGATTTCCTTTTATTCCTTTTTCAAAAATATTTTATATTTCTCTTTGTGAGTATAGAACATAGAATTTCTTCAAAAGTATGGTAGTTACACTGTTTTGTTTTCTTTATTTTCATCCACAATGAAAAACACACAGGGTACGATAATAAAAAAAATTGTATTTAAACTATAATATTTATCACAAACAAATATTAATCATGCGTCACTGATATTCCTTATTTTCATGTTTTTACTAGGAAACTCCTCTAAAGAAGTTTACCCCATAAAGTTTTGAAATTCGCTATGTTCCAGACAGACATCAAATGCTTGTTCAATTTTGTCAAATCGCTCATTGTCTCATGGATTGGTTTGACTGGATCGATTTTTTCAACGAAAGAATTCGCTAGCCATTGAAAACCTTCATGAAGACCTTCATTACGAATGGCACAAGCTGGCTGCAAATGGTATTTAATATTTACGTTGAGTTTACTTAAATTAAGTCTGTCATGTATTTCATCCAAGGACATAACATTGGGTAAATCTTGTTTATTAGCAAAAACAAGAAGAGACCTAGTTTGACATTCGTCTCCGTTGAAGATATTGAAAAGTTCATCCCGTACGTCATCAATGTTTTCTCTATCAGTTGAGTCAATGACAATGATGATTCCAGAAGCTCTGCGATAACGATGACGTTGAAAAACACGAGCTCGAGAACGTCCACCCTCATCGAACACCAACAGATTAATGTCGTTAATTGTTATTTTTTCCATATCGGTACCGATTGTTATCGTAGTCGTTACATTTGTGCCATATTTTATAACTTTGACTATTGTTGTTTTACCTAAATCAAAAATGATATTCTCAAATAAAACGCCGGCAAGTCGGTTAAATGTGATTGAATCATTTAATAAAGGTTTCCTAACGTGCCGAAACGTTTAGGATACGTAGAGCTCAATCTATTTCTAATTTCAGTACTTAAATTTTATCTTCATAGAGATCCAGTTTTCACACAGAATCAGAAAATAACTGTCAATATTGTGCATACAAAAATGAGGTGACACCAAGGGTGGAGCGGATTCCGCCTATCCGTGATACGGTGACAATTCACACAATCCAGCGAATACGGTGGCGATCCTTACGATACATTCCAGGCACCGAGGATAGGAGTTTGTTCGATGGAAAAATTCAAAATATATAGGATAGATGTAATATGAGTACAATCAATGAATGCTGGTGAAAAAGTCCATTCGATTTCAAAAAGTTTTTAATGTTTTTTTTTTGTCGTTTATTCCTGGTATGAGCAAATTTTTTTCATAGAGTGAAATGGATTTAATCTAAGAAAAATAACAATTCTATTTGCACTGTGCCCGCTAAATCTACTTGTTTAACGTTGATTCGATCTGTGCAAAATATTGGCCGAGTCAATAGGTAGCTATATCTTATAACTCGATCAGATTACATAGCTGAAATTCTACTCACAAAAATATGCTGTTGACTTGGCTCTCAACATAGTTTCTATGACCTATGAAACTGTTCAAAAGAATCAGAATTTTGATCAAAGGCATGGTTTTGAAAGGATCTGATCTCCTAAGATGCTTGATCAGCTGAAGTCTGGTTAATAAAGTTTTAAAAGGAGCTTATAATAGGATAAAATGATTCTGTCCCTTTCTATTTCATCGGATATTTTTTCTTGTTTTATAAAAAATCCAAGTTTTTTTCTGTTGAGATATTTTCAGCAAGCGGTTTATAGAAACGGTGATTAATAAAATGTATTACACCTTGATTGTTCGTCTTTTTTCTTCAAACAGTGCATGTTCGTTGCTAATTATTTTCTACTTCTTATCATAGGAAATTTTTAAATCTTTTTTCAGCAGTTTAAATAATGATATCCACAACTGTTTTTTGTGTAATTTGATATATTTTATAAACACTTATATTTTTAACATTCTACTACACAGCTATGATCTTATGAATCAGAAACTTGACTATAAAGAATCCTCAGTTTAAATGAATGTTGAACAGAAATATTTTATTAACCTCCGATTGAAAACGAGCTAATGCGTATACAGGAGATTTTGGTCGATTATACATAGATCCTAAAGTAATTGATTTCAAAAAAATTCTCAAAGATCTAAAGAAACCAACTAAAATACATCGGCATAGTAAAACAAAAGTCTAGTGGTTCTTAACACTAGAAAACTATCAAAAATCGCAAGAAACAAATAGCCCATGATAGAAAGGAAAGATGCACTGGAGAGGATAATCTATTACTTTCTATTGTTTAAACATATGGAAATGAAATCTTCTAATAGAAAAAAATAGATTAAAAATTCCGACTGAATTGATTAAACTCAGATTGTAAGAATGTTGACGAATTCATTTCTACATTGATGAGGGTTTGCCAAGATCCTAATACTCTAGATTCGCAGTTTGATTCTTCCCGAAATCAATACGATATATATGACTAGAATAATAATTTGATGTCCAATAAACCGGCCCCAACGTGCATGAATAGCAGAAAATCATATGATTAAACGAAAAGGCCGTAGAAATCGATTCTAGATTGGAAGTAAATATTTTTATTAGACGAGCTGTCTCATGGAACATATTTTCCCTCCAATTACGAGCGCCGACTTTAAAATATGAACTGAAAATTATACAGCAATGCTAAAATTGGCCTGGCATCTTGTAGACTGATCCTTCGAACCATATCCAAGGATCCTCAACAGTAATTGATTTTCTATAACAAAATATGCTCCGTTTCATTCAAAAATGCATAGAAAAGCAGCACCATATGAAATAAGTTTCATCTAATATAAATTAGTACCACCTGAGTACTTATTCAGTTCCATAAAATCTTTTGATAATGATAAAAAAATCAGTCTGAGAATCCTCGTACGTCTTGCAATCCTTATTTGAAAAAGGCTTTTATAGAAATCCTCATATTTTTCCACGGAGATTTTCAGAAAATTTCTTTCTTTTTCTCTTTAGAGGAGTTTTTGGGAGAATCTATAGAAGGTTATATACTGATTTCTAATGAATAGTTTTTATTTCACTTTATGAAAGTTTTATATTAATTTTCAAGTGAAGTCGAGTATATTTTCAGCGGAAAAAGGGTCACCTGTGAATATCTCACAATAAGTCACCCAAACATATTCTAGGAGATCCCATGTTAAGTCTTGCAGAACTTTATGGTGTTTATTATGCCCCTCAAAATCCATACCAATGAAACTTCTATTGGTAAAGTATTTTGTGAAATCGGTCCTTGACAGTATAGAGTTTTCAAGTATTTAGAGCATTACATTTTTGTCACAGAAAGTGCTCTATGAAATTCTACTACAGTCAAAATATTAGCTTTCAGCACGACTTCTTCATGGAATATCTATATTCATATAGTATTGCAAAAATGATCATTTTGCTGTGCATCTCTTCGTATTGATGAAGTTATTTTTTACGATTATTGTATGACGTTAAGGCATGTACACACTGAGCAGCTCAAGCAAAACGGATCTGTTTTCACTGGAATATGTCTGTTATAAACGACCGAGTAAACCTGCTCTTTTGAGGATAGCGTTCTCAGCAATATTTACGTACTCTGGGAACTAAGCAGTATGTTTGTCAACAATTTACGTCAAAAGTCTTAAAACTTTTATTTTCACGGCATACTTCAACATCAGAAAACTGTAACAACTTTGCTTGAAGACAAATTCAGTGATGTTGCATGAATATTGACTTATAGAACGGCATAAATGAACTTCTACCTGTGGTACTCAGTAATTTTTACATCACCGCTTTTATCCAAGAAAAAAAGTCGGATTCGTGAATACGTTATTTCACTTTCAGATCCTTTCTATTTTCATGATATTCTCGTATCCAGGATACGGTGACGATCCGCTTTTTCCTCCTTGGGTGACACTGTAGACTGTTCGATTGGATAGCTTTCAAAAAAATGGCTTTTACTTCTCTGGTACAAAACTCTTGGAACTTTTTTATTCGTAATCAATATTATGCTGACAGAATATGTGCGTGAGTTCATTTGTGACCGAGTGAAATAGTAATAACATGTGTTAAACTTACCAGTAGAATGCAATCCACACATGAATACCAGCAATGGCTTCGGGTTTGTGTTAGCAACGACTATCGGCTTCTGATAGGATAAACCCATTTTTGTCAATGATACGCAATACAACTTGCCACCAAAGAATTTAAAACGGACATTCAACCGTTGCAGTTATCGATGACTAATATGTTTCTTTTTATATTGTCTACGTGGACAAAATTACACAAATATGGTGCAATTTCTTCGATGAGTCACTATATGAAGTTCAGCAACTGTCGTTTAACAGTCATTCTGCTTAAAAACGTCGTCGAATAAAAATGGAAATTGAAGCGAACTAAACATAATCAGTCGATTGTCACATATAGACTTTTCTCTCTGCTTTGATAAACGAACAGAAGACGAAATGAACAATAACTTATTGAACAAGTAAATCATAGTTGAGTCTTTATTTTCCTAAGCATACTTATGAATATATTACCTCACTGTTTTTTCTATGGTAAATAATAATGACATAAACATTTTCCCTTTCATATCATTTAGCACCAGCTGAGAAACTTCGTTTCAACACTTTAATAGGAAAGTTCAGGTCCACTCAAAAAGTTCTAATTTCTCCTGATGATGATAACGGTAGAATCATTCAACAAATTGCAGCGAGAATTCATTTTTTCCCAATTTGTGTAGCTCTTTTTTGTAGATTTCGTTTTCCGGAAATATTTGGTTCTGCTGCCATCTTCATTCGTAACACGTCAGCATATAACAAAAAATGAGTGTGAATGCGTAGGAAATATTTTGCATGTCTATTCTACTATGTTATCGTAAACGGTTTCAGGCCGAAACAAGATTCTAAACAGTAGACTAAAAGCATCTCTGATTTGTATCATTCTTTGAAATATTTTAATATGCTAAATATTATATTTATTGATGAGGAACATTCTGCCAAGCGAATAGTTCATCGTCAATGAAGAGAAAAATTTAATCTCACTGTGCATAAATCTTTCTCATTTCTGCGATTCATGTTTCAAATTCAAAATGCATATGTCATGCGCGCAGAACTTAGCTAAAGCAATTGGCAATGAATACATATTATAATCGAAATCATCGATTGAATTCCAATGAAACTCATATGAGAAGTTACATATTTTTTGAATCTTATAATAGGGAAAATCAATTTCTTTTTATTTGATAAATCAATTTGGTATGAATCTCATTTCGTTTGGTTCAATATATTGGATGAAAAAAGTTACGTATATATGTAGAATATGATAAAATCCCTTTCTCTTGTAGTTCCGTTATACTTAGCAAGAAAAAAAACTTGAATTACTCATGTGTGCATATGATTGATGGCAGCTCATAGCAGACCCTTGCTGTATGCATCACTCCTCAATTAATTCTACGTGAAAAAGAATCATCTAAATGCAGCACGGGTGCGACATCAGTTTTCTATGGATAGCAAATATTAGTAGTAACATAATGACACATTGCAACCAGATAATTTTATCTATGCAAAGCTAGCTAAGTAAATCAACGAAAAAACATTCTTTCTTATCTGTTTACTCGTGAAGTTGTTTATCAGTACCATTTTATATAGTTGAGAGTAGCAAGCGCAAGCACTAGATATATAACAATTGAAGAAGTCTTAAAGGTAAAACTTTTCAGGTTTCATAATAGTGACTCGATATAAAATTGTTTGCCATTTTCTATTAATTAATCAGAAAATTAAGTAAACTTTCAACAGTTTCAGATCAGAATTCACGTTAAAACTATCTAGTTTGACTACGATTCTCAATTGCTTAAATCTAAGACTTTTTTAGGCACTTTTTCTTCCACCGTGGATATGAGAATGAAAACGCAGAGAAATTGCACTCTATTTACTTTATATATCTTTCACAATCCTAAGAGTGAAAATTGAAAGATTTCGAACATTTGAAACTTTTTAATTAAATCAGATTTCATATATCGGTCCTATATAACTCTAACTTGAAATAGCTCAATCTAACTTACATTAAAACAAGATAAATATTTTTATTAAATTGAAAATTATGAAACGTTTCGCCTACTTTTAATTTAGTTTTAATTACGCTAACTTGAAATGGCTGCGAACTATCAAGACTATCCACAGCAACCGGGTTACTATGCACAACCACCGCCAACTGGTTATGCACAACCACCCCCAACTGGTTATGTGCAACCACCACCTGGTTATGCGCAGCCGCCACAGCCCGTCTATACACAACCCTATCCGTCGAATAATCAGCCAATTATAATTCTTCATAACGACAACCATGATGTTCAACACGGATGCCATTTTATTCTTTGCTTTTTAACAGGTGGATTGTGGGCACCATGCTGGGCAGCAGCTTGTTTAGGACTTGGTGAGTCATTCTCATTGAGTTTTTATTAGATTTCTAGCAATGGCTCGAACTTGAATTATATTTTTTTGCATTTTAGGTTGTGAGCGGCCTTGTTAGTTCAATTGGAACAGACGATGGGCGAACATCTTTTTTTTTGATTCATGAATATTAATGCTTCCTATTGAATTCATAATAAAAACACAAGGCTGAAGATATATTGAATAACAAGTCGCTATTTTGCACATCAAGCGTATACTTGCGATGTTTACAATACGTTCGCTCTTCTATATGAAAGCAGCTTTCAGGAACTGCATTCTTTGACAAATCCCTTTCTACCGAAAGTTATAATCTTATTTCGTGCCACGTTTTTGTCAAAATTCATTTCTATGTAGTACACAAAATGTTGAATTTAATACTTCTGCTTTATTGAAAAGCAATTATAAGGAAAATTCAAGAAAAATATTTAAAACATATTCAAGTAAAATAGTAGAACTAGATGGAAATTAGCACAAAGATACAGTGAAAGTTTCGTGCTATTTTCTATTAACAATATGAATAGTGGAATAAGCACGGTCAAATTTGTGTATACGATTAATTCGCCTTGTAAATTATTTTTTATAATATAAAAAGCACTTTCTTATGTGCATAAAAAGGTAAAGTTGAAACGAAAGCGAAAAGATATTTTTTGCTTTATTCCGTCAAATGTCGCTTGAAAATCGTCGTTGAAATTATTCGTTTTGCATTTTGTAGAATAAAACAGATGAAAAGAAATATTCAAGAGAAGTAAATTAGGATCTGAACGTGACTTGGCGTAGTTCCTATTGTGAATGAAGAACCAACGCTTCTTTTATTTAAAACTACGTTCGATGAGTATAGCAAATCATTTAATGTCACCCACACTCTGAGCGTGGCACTTGAAAAAGAATCTTGTGACTATAAAAATTAGTTCAAATGTTAGGGATGAAAAATAAAAGAAATTCCATCTAAGTTTAGTGTTCAACAGTTCACGACTGATTATTTGGTGAGCTGTCATTCGTTTAATATGCAACTGGAATGAAGAGAAAAAAGAAGGGAGCCCAAGAAGATGAGAGACGAAACGTCAATGCGATAGATATTCTTGAGCGTTACATAGTTACAGTCGAACCAATGGAAGAACGACGTGTACGATAAGACGAAACGATCAGAGAAGAACAAAACAAATAGTAGCTATAAGAAAAAAATTAAACATAATGTATCAAGAGTTAACATAGTGACGTAGTTAGAATACATAATAATATGCGATCGGCGGAACTATGAACGTCACGTGTTTTTATTCTTGAATTAGGCAAAAGCATTCGTGTGTATCAATTTTGAATATAATTTATTAAAATATACTTTTCTTTTTTTTTACTATTCGTTTTCATTGAGATCCACTTCTGTCGGTGCAATATATATTCGATGTAAAAGTTATTATTTCAACATATAGCGCACGAATAGATAGAATTTATTTATTATTTCACGTTGTGTGAATATACGACTGAAAATAAGTACTCAGTATTCTATGTTTTAATCGCCATCGGATTTTGCTAATAGTTTCATTATAGTATTCAAAGTATTACTTAATTGAACATGTAATTATGTAGATACGAGTTAATAGAAGAGCTATGTTCTATTCAGCACTCTTACATTTAGTTTTAGACCAATTCAATTATAAACAGCTTGGGTCGGTATAATAAAAATTTTTGCGACAATTCCATAACGATAGCGTTATCTTTCTATAACTAGCTAAGTAACTAAAACAATAAAACCGATGTACACAATCTAATCTATTTTACTTACAAAATCATCTGCACGACCGAGTCTATATATTGAAGAGTTTCAAGTAAAGATGCACACTATAACAGTAGACACCAATATTTGCAAGGTAAGGTTCTTCAGACTTCAACATAACAACACTCAGTTGTATAATTACTTTTCGCTGTCAGCTAACTAGTGACACAAGAAGCTAACCATCTAGATTGTTATACTAGTGTTGGTAGAACGTCTCACAGCTGTGAATTAGAGATACTTTTTGAAAAGGAAAAAGAATCACTGTTTTGCATCTAACATTGGAATGCCAATGTCGGAGGTGCTTCATAGAAAATAAGTTCCGAGTCAAAATTCAAAAGATTTCGATGATGTAAATCTAGTAGATTGCAAACAAGAATGCCATTAACCATTAAACATTAATTGGTTTTTCTAGAGCGAGCAATGAGTTAGCTACGCCTTTCTTAAGCAAATTAGGCGTGATCTATCAGAAGTTGGACACAACAGACGAATGCCTTGGTCAAACTTTGTTGATATAAGTTAGATTAAAAAAGGAAAGAAACGCAACCTTGATAACTTATTATCTTGTTTTGAATATTTACAATAGGAAGGGAGAGAGAGAGAGAGATCCTAAGTGAACAACGAGTTTTAAATTAATCATGAATTAGATACTTGCATATATGATCTTTAATCGGTCTGACTGGACCGCTCGAGAAAGCTCGACCAATCGGTGGATAATCTTTTGTAACAGTTTAAAATTTTATTTCGATTAGCGATGTTTCTGAAATGAAGACCTCTACTTCGCATCAATTTTAGCATGTATTAAACTGATACATGCTGATTTGTTGTAAAACAGTTACGGAGAAAACAAGCCAAACTTATTATGGTAAGACTAGATTCGATTAAGGGCAATAGCATTCTTCATAAAAGAGAACTTTTATGCCAAAAACCTCTGTAAAAAGAGGGGTTTATGAAAAATAGATTTTATATCGTTTTACTTTTAGAGCCCCCAAGAAATCCATTTAGTCCTCATTGGGGCATTTAGTCCCTTTAGTGTGTATTCAACAAATGACAAACCGTAAATATTTCAATGATTTAAAGTCCTCCATTCAAGCATGTTCACTACCTAAAAATATAACATTCAATACTTCTTCACGCACAGTATAAATCTATATTCTTATGTTTGACATCTTGATCTGAACGAATACGAAACAGAAACGGCACTAAAAGGACTATGTAGACTGAAATATTCTAACATAGTTTACTGTGTATCTTTGCATAAAAGTACAGCGATAGAAAATTCTTTTTTTGTGAGCCAACGGATTTACATTGTGCGAATAGCTATTGAATATGTATTCTTCTTTATAAAATTTCTTTTCTTTTCTTCATATGCTTTCTATGATCCTTCAGTTCATACCAATTTATTTCTCTTCTTATAATCGACGGTAAAAATATTTTTTTTATCTGCTGTTTATTTCAGAATTTTCGTGATATCTCTACTTCTATGTTGCCTTTGTTTTTCTGATCTTTTATTGTCAATGTTTTCATTGATGTTTGATAGAGATAACTGTACAGAAAATGTTTTGAATACAAGCACTGCTAATCGGATTTCCATAGAACGCAGAAGTAGTTCGGTTTATTTAGTTTTTAAAAATCGGTCAAAACTACGGTTCTATTTGAAAAAATTTTCCTTCGGTATGATTATGTATTTTCTCAATCGTGAACAATTGGCAACATTAATATGGCTTCAGGGAGACTTACTCGTTCAATAGTTGAATGTGTGAGCAAAGGTGAGGATTTAGGCGTAGATGGTAAAGCGGTAGAGGATGAATTTTGGTTGTAATTGTGAATTGCATTCAGTCTCGGCAATATCCATCAGGAGAATATCATGCATGGAACCGAAAAGTCATGAGAATAGCATAACTACAAAGTTATCATTATCATTGCAAAACTACACCATTTTCACTTGTATACCTCAACCTACACAACTGTAAACAAAACAGATTCATATTTATGAGATTTATTTGAAATAGGTATAACTATATTGAAACCCTTTATCACGAAATTTTTTTTTCAAAACTCAGCTTCTTACTTTAGGTTTATTTCGACGCGAAAAATATTCATCTTTCCTTGTAATTGGCGAGGGGAGGGGAGATACTGCTGATCACAAAAAAAAGACGTGATCATCTAATATCTACTATACTCATATAGTCATTCTTAGTTTTACACGCATGTAGAAATGAAGAAATCTGTATTTTAACGAAAGATAATAGTTGTAGCTATTGTGTATGTTGTTTAAGTCTCGACAGAATCTCGATAATTGTGGAAAACCGGCAACGCTTTTCAAGTTCCGCCGAACTTCAGGCATCTCTCTAAATTCTAGCAACATGGGAACGTTAGCAATTCAGAGGGTGAAATTCCAGGTATCTCATTTCGATTTAACCCATAAGACTCATTTTGTCTTGTGTTGCAGACCATCATGGTCTTATAATATCAGCTTAGACTAAAACTTATAGATAGAATATTCTGCCATTTTTAATTTTAGTTTGAACTGTATTAACGTGACATGTCGGGAAGCTATTCACAAAACCCTTCTACACCCGTTATCGTGGCGCAACCGTATGCAGCGAGTACTCCGTCTGTGGTAGTTATTAACACTGTGAACAAAGATGTTCAACATGGATGCCATTTTCTTCTTTGGTTAATAACAGGCGGCTTATGGACACCGTGCTGGATAGGAGCATGTTGTGGCTGTTGTAAGTTAATTTGATTTGATTCTTTACTAGAATCGAACCTATGAAGAGAACTTAACACCTACTATTCACTATTTTAGGTTGTCAACGACCTTGTTAATTCAACTGTATCACGCAAACAATGCACATCTTTTTGTTTTATTCACGAACTATAATATTTCTGATTGCATTGATAATAAAATGACATGTCTTAGCTTCAATCGATAATGCATTGAAGAAAAAATGACTCTTTTATCACTTGAATGTTAAGTTTAGATTTGTGCTTATTAAGATATCAGTATTTTTTTGGAACGCGCATATATTTTGGAAGAAAATGGTGAATTTGAGTTTAAAGATGAAATTTTTTAGCCTCTTTCTCCCACCTATTGAATTGTTGATCAAATCCATTTGTTAATAATAAATGGATATTCCAAGATTTATTCTTAATACCTTGTTCAAGTTCCTGTTCGAGAAAACATTAGCCATTCTTTTCTTGTCTAAAATGGCAAAATTCTTAAATATTGACAAACGAACTTGTAATTTCAATTAGGGATGGGTGAATTTGAATTTCTAATAGTATAACTATTTCATTATTACTCGGAATAGAAAGTAGTTCAAGTTTTTTCAAGTTTTTGAAATTCGTTTTTCGACATACGCTGACCTCTATAGTATTCGTGCTATCGAACTATTTTCTTTCTTATTTTTGATAACATTCAGTAAATGCATATGTAAATGTCACATGAGTTTTATATCATACTTCAATGTTTTTGTGTTCGAACTGCTCTATTTACAATTTTATATAAAAAAGCTTCTCGGACTATACCAATTTATAGCCCGATTTGATTCGTAATTTTGTTCAAATTCATTACCAAATCGTAATTCATGTGTACTATCAGCATGTTGCTCGCGACGAAATTCGATTATCTCCTCTTTATTATTTTGTTTCATCTGAATAAATGTATCTTTCAACAATTGAGTATACATGAATACTGCTTCTTGTTTATTTATTCGATCATTAGAACATAAATAGAATATTACCGAATATATTGTAAGCAACATTTTCATTTTCAATACGTCGAAAATTCGATTGTAACATAGAATAAAGTAGCTCAGTATCATTGAGAGTATCTTTAAATTGTCGAATATTAGAAAACCAATTTGGCGGTGCATTTGAATCAAACAAATCGACAGAATGAATTTGCTCTAGTTGACTTATAAATCGAATCTTTTGATCGGTAAACACTTCTACAATATTAATAAGGTGACGTAATCGTTCAATAAATTTTTGTGATCAGTATTTGAATAAAGCCAAATGATGACTCAGTTTGCTTTTCAGAATGTCACTAATATGCAGTTGAAAACAAGTGATTGCTTTTTAGAATAATAACTGCCACTTCAGTGAATTTTTTATGTTTGCTGTTATTCCTTCACAGGCAAAACATATGCATAGCGTGATGTATGTTTTATTCTTCGCATTTACTTGCTCACTGTACTACGTGAAAACGGAAAATAATTTGTTTTCATTTTTTCCAAGTAGAGAAGATGCGAATGTAGATATTTATCTGTGCTTTATTCAGATAGCGGTATTTTCTTTATTATTCGAATGCTTGTGCAAATCTGTATTGATTCGATATCGACAAAAACAAAAGGGAAAGTTAGTAATTCTACTAAAATAAAAACTTCCCTTTAATTAGTATACGTTTCTTAAGAATGAATTGTTGTCTGAATTGATCGACAAATGTAGAGAAGAAAATTACAATTCTATGCTTTTTTCTAAACCTCGTCATGGCTGTTAGCGGTAATTAATAAATGCAGATAAAAACAAGATTTTTATTTGCAATATTTAAATAAAATATCAAATATTTTCCGCAGTCAATTGTTCAGTTTCTACCTGATGTTCTTGAAAATTCTGTAAAATTGTGAAAGTATATTCATTTTTTTTGATTGCCTTCCGAAGTGTTTTTATGATGAGAATATTTTAACTGCATGCACATACACTTTGATACACATTTTCTGCGCAGATTATAACCAAAAATGCCCTCATAGATGTATTCTACAACGATCAATATTTCGTTGCCTACAGTGAGGAATCGACAAAGCAAAAAAAGCGTATGTTGATTGTATATACCGTTAACATAAAATCATTGTGAATAACGAAATTACTTGCGAGAATCAAAGAAATTTGCTTCTTGACTTTTGCAGTAATTTTAATCATTCTGTCACTTGTATGACGCTATTGAGTACGATTCTTATCGTTTCAGTCGCAGTGGTACTCATTGTGTATTTGTGAAATTTAAGATCGAGTTATCAATATTTTAAACAGCGCGAATTGTTATTAATCGAACTTTTTCAGCTGAAAAACTCAAACTTATGACAACTTTGGTAAATCAATGTATTGAAGCATTTATGAGTAGATTGCCAGAAAAATGCGAACAACAAGAAGAATTCAATATCTATCAAATCTAACAAACGATCGACTATGGATGTTATTTGTAAGTAAAAGATAAATTCATGACAGTGCTTAGTAGAGATTCGAAAATTTAGAAATTTCAATATCCATTTTTATATTAAATTAATTTCGTTTGCTTTCACTGAGGTCGATGTGCATTCGGTATTGATACGAACATGCTAACAGATACAGATAATGAATATATGTGTAAAGCTGAAATTCTTACTGGGCAAAGTTTTGAAAGTAATCCATTGAGCTATTTGATGCCATGGCTAATTCCTGTACTTTCCTATATCATTATCGGCCAAACTATGTGGATGCAGTTTCTTCACAAATGGAAGCAAACTGCCGAAGAATTACCTCGTATTTACAGCAATATCACTTGCAATTGTGCTGCCTCAGATGCATGTCAAAGACTGTTACGTATCGGTCCATCTGATCTTATTTTACCGGGACTTGTTGTTGGTTGTTTACCACTTGACGGTTTGTGCTTGTCAACTCTCGAATGCTTCTTATTTCACCAAATTGTGTTACGCCTCTCAGTAGCCATCTTGAATACTATACACAATACAATGGATCATCACCTCCCATTGATTTTGTTCTGCCAGCAATCCCATCAGTGACATTATCTACTTTGGATAGCTCGATACCATGAAGATTCTTATCAACGGCACTAAGCGGTACGCTTATGAATAGTATGTTTCTCGAAGAAATAAATAAAACAATATCGTATGAGAATTATTTTGCTTAGTACGCTCCAACTGAATATCGCTACGAAAAACTCACACGTAATACTGCTTTGTACGTTGTAACATCATTACTGCCTATCTATGGAGAGCTTTCAGGTTCGTTATAGTTCATTACGTGGAACGGAATTCTGCTTTACCAATGGATACAACACAATCGATGAACTCGCTATATTATAATATAACTGTGATCCTGAATGACAAATATCATTTATTGTAACCTTGTTCTCAGCTTATCAAAATATTCGCTTACGTTTTGCTTTTAATATCGCTTTGAAAGATGATGAATTAGCGTAAATTGGCAATTGTTTCGAGAATATTTATGAGTATTCATATTTCGGAAGTAGCTTCTTGAGGGTGTGAGCGTGTATATAGACGTGGATTTACGTAGATTTTAAAAAAAAAGTGAATCATGCTCATGTGCACTCTAATCGAAAAATCTTTAAAAGAAATTAGATTTCTAGATATCGGAGAGGATTGATTTATTAAAACATTCGTCAATGCCAACGATTTTAAAGCGACATGTCTATGAATTGATCGATATTTTCATAATCGATATTCACGGTTCCGGATGATGTACACTGAGGTTCCATCGTCGATTTGAATAATTACTTTTAGCCGATGTTGGTATCCAGCGTGGACGATTTTGAATAGCAGGTGATAATGATGGAATTCGCTTTTGTAGCTCTTTCAATGTTGCCGGTCGCTCCGAGTACACTGGATAGCAAACGTAGCCGATAGGTGATGGAGATGAAGATACAGGTTTGTAACTGTCCTGATAAACTGTGGTACCGGTCTTTGGTCTCAACATTGGGCGTTCAGCATAAGTTTGTTCTTCAACAATGTGATGGTATTCATTACAACAGTAGAATGGATTTTGCGAGGATAACTTGTTTTGATTATTGGATGAAAATGAGGTACTGGTTGAAGACACATCATTCGAATAGTCTTGTTTGACCATTAAGAACGTTGGTGATGTTTGCTGTCGTTTTAATTCTTTCATATCATGCTTGATTTGATTTAATTCACGACGAATCGCTCTTGTATCCGACGTTGCAGCGTCATTTCTATTATTGGTGGTCACTAATATGTGGTAAGGCTGTCGCGTGGATGTCGATGTTTCATGATGATCAACATAAATACACGTTGGCGTTGTAGCAGGTGAATCAATCCGATAAATTACTGTTGGATACATTAGTTTCTGCAAGAAAGAAATAATTCAAGCATGGTTCCCGGTTACTTTTCGAAGTGAGGGGGGCTAAATTTTGGCAGAAAGTATTTTTTCTGGCAGACAGTATGCGTCAAAAAGAACATCCTTGATTTATAATATCATCATCTAACATAGATTTTTTTTCTTCTAATTCAATATGTTTAGTCTAGAAACAGTAATTGCAGTTCAAAAAAATCTGAATAATTATTCCATAACGCATTCTCTAGCTACTATAGCATTCTTCATTTTTCTGTTGGTTATTTATTAGCGAACAACTAATTTTATGGCGCCATCTTTGATAAAATTCAACATTCGGAAACTAAGTGATTATAGAAGATATCTACGGCTTCAACGACATGGGATTGCGTATCAAATAGACAGATACAGAAGACCCACCAAAGTGGTGAACTTTCTGGCAGAAATAAAAAAATAGAAAGGCTAGACTTTTTGCCAGAACTAACAACTAGAATGAATAAAGTTTCTGCAAGAAATTACAAATAGACTGAATAGACTTTCAGTCAGAAATAAAATAACAAATAGAGTGGAGTGAACTTTCTGGCAGAAATAAATAGAATGGCTAGATTTTTCGACAGAAATAAAAGGTAGAAATTAAAGATTTTCTGGCACGAATAGAAAATGAACAGCGGAGCCACCAGTAGAAACGAATAACTGCAGAACGAGAATGTTCATTTAACAATAGGATGCATAAAACAACATTTTTACTAGACAAAAAAAAACATTTTAATTGGCGGTACACAGACGTACTGCAACCAAGACTTTTCGAGTAACCCAAAATCTAGGAAAAATTTTCGCAGAAACAACTTTATTTCTTAAATTTTGCGGGGGACTGTCCCCCTAATCGGAGTCCCTGAATTCAAGGATTTTTAAAAGTCTTTCTCTGCCAGAATTCCATCAAGTAAATCAATCGGCTTGTTTTCTTCTTCTTGCGGGAACAATAAGATTTCACAGTTGAAACTCAGACAAAAATAAAAAGGGATCTCAGCAGCTTACTTAACAAAGAAAGTAGTTTTGAATGAGAATATGTGTTGCGCGTTTTAGTCGTGTATGATCCGCTAACAATTTATTGACGACCGGAAATTTTTTTTGTTTCTGTATTGCAAACAAGCAATCAAATTTTCTGATTCGTTAACGTTTGAAAGTCTTCTGAAGAAATAACCTTGAATAAAGGTTCTTTTCTTTTCTTTTCTCACATTCGATTTCTTTCTGCTGAATAAATTCATTCAGTTTCTATGGCATGCTACAACAAAACAAAGTAAGATGTGAATGTTAATGATTATAAGAAGAAAAAAAATCACAAGAAATTAAGAATGAAAGATCGTCAGAATTTCTACAAGGGAAGAACGAGAAATATTATTACAAAGATCAAAAAACGAAAAATAGGGTGCGAGTGGATGCGTTAATCAGTGCAAACGAAAACAAAAAATCCATACCAACACCCTCTAAAAGCTCTCGAGTTTGACAAAGGTATTTTTCTCTGTTGCATCATTCTCTATAATTTCAAGGTGAGCATTTTGTTTGAACTAGAATTACGTTCGTTGGCTGAATTGTTTGAAATAAAAAAGTATCGCTCTGGGAAATCCACTTGTGCTCGCATATTATTCAATTATCGTTTATTGTCAGTTTATTTTGAAATCAATAATAATCTCATTTTGTATTAGAACAGTCTGAAAAATCAGTAGGCTCATTGTTGTTGTACTGTTTTCCCTCCTAATTGCGCAATAAAACCGATAACTTCATTTTCAATCTCTTGATCCATTTGAGTATAATCTGTTCTCTCAAAGTACAATTCATCATCAGGTTCAATACGACGTCGATCGTTCCACTGTTCACATCCGTCGAATGGAAAATCATAACCAATGCGATATTTAGGCCAACTTCGATAATGATTAATGCCTTCTATCGGTGAGCCCATCATCATCATCACTGGTTGTTTTTCGTCAACACATTTGGTGGTTGGTGCTATATATCTGCAACAATGATAATAGGATCTCGTAGAAAACAGTCTATTTTTTTCTTATACCTGATTGTTAATCCACATCGCCGTCGATCACTTGTATTGGCATTAGAGCCGTGAACAATATTTGGATGATGGATACTAATATCTATGAACAAACCCAAAACATATACAAATGGCACAATAAGGTGTCTATACAAATAATTATAATTAGTTCTTAGTGAAAATAAACTTGTAATTGAAATATTTACTCTAACCTAATGCATTTCCTTTTCTGTCATAGTTTTCATTTACGAATCATCGCTCAATAAGCTATAATACTGATTTGAGTCATTCGCATAGGAAAATTTACTTACCACCAGGTTTCAATACGATGTCAACGATTTTTTCTTGATCAATATCTTCATCTCGATGAGTGTAACTACCAAGAACATTCTGAACTGAAACATCATCAGTTAATTTGGCCAATTCTTCTTGGTGACTGCCACGAACCACTCGAAGACATCCATTTTCTGTATCACTCTCATCGATGGCTAACCACATTGTTAAAACATTCATAGGTTTCAATGGCCAATAGGAACCTAAATATAGATGAAGCTGCCGAGTCAGATTGCATAGCAGTAAAACAAAGTTATTTCTACCGTCTTGATGCCAAAGAACCGACATTCCTGTTTTTGCTGGTTTGCAAAAATAATGAGATGAAAACAAGGCAATACCACCATCGGGTTCAATAAAAGGTGAACCGAATAAAACAGCTAAATCCAATAGACGTGGATCACTTACCAAACGAACCCAAAATGGATCATTCCGCATGATAGGATGATGTAAATGTTCTCCTGGTATCGATGGAAATTTCGATTGTAAAAATTCTATATGTTGCCGACATTCGTCTATTAAACGAGCATCAACCACATTTCGAAGTACAACAAAACCATCAGTATGGTATTGATCGACCAAATGAGAGTAAGTATCTGTCATGTGTATTCGTAGCTTAGAATCTATCAATTGCAATCAGCGCTTCTAAGCAATTTAGTAATTTCTAATATGAAAACTATATTCTAAAAATATTTTTTTACTCTTATCATATAAGATCGACAGTTATTTAAAGGTGTGCATCTACTGATATGTATACATATATACCTTACCTTTTCTGTTGTGTGATATATTACCCCTATTTATCTTGTAGACCATAGAACACAGAGATAAGATTTGATGTAAGAAAAAATTGCTAGAATATTTAATATACATGCATAAGTGACAACAAAGTGGATAAAGATAGAACTTAATAAAAGAAACTATGAATGAAAGGAATTTACTTATGGACAGGTTTTATTCTTGCCAACGCAGCTCTTCTGCTCGCACCCATATCTCAAGGAGTAGCAATACGAAAGTACTGACAGAAAATTTCTCTTTGATATCTGTGCTATTTTTCTAGTGATCTCGGTTGTGTTGCTTTACGTTTCTTCGGATATATTTTGTGAGTGACCAGGATGAAAAAGAAAATTTTACTTGCAATGTTTATCATTAATCTTATCGTTGCTATTTTTACTAAACTAGCACCAATATTCTGTTGAGACAACTCCTTATTTTTCAAGTCACTGCTAAATATTGTTTTTATAGCATCATGTTTTTCTGAAGGTTATTTCGAACTTTGGTCAATTATACATAATTAAAGTTTTTCTTTTACAAGTAATAATGTATCTTGATATAGCCGTAGATCTACTTGATTAGAATATTGTGACTGTTCGGCAATTTTAATAGCACATCCCAAATATGAAAACGCTTTGGAATAATCTTCAATGTTACTGTAAAGGACTCCCATTTTACCGTATAAGACAGCTAAGTCACAATCATCTGGAGCCACAGTTTCTTTTTGAATCACAAGCATCTTTTCATAATAAAGTAGGGCTTCTCGAATTTCTCCCATTTTCTCATGAACTGAGCCGATATTGTTGTATGATATCAATAAATTTGGATGATTTGATGGTAGGACTTTTTCTTGAATTTCTACTGCTGTTTTATGATACAATAATGCTGTTGGATACTCGTTCATACTCTTATAAGCCAAGCCAATGTTGTTGTAGCAAGTTGCCAAACTAGGATGGTATGAATGCTTAGCTCCTTCATGGATTTCAAGTGCTTTTTGAAGAAATGATATTGCTTTCGAATTTTCTCCCATTTGTTGGCAGATCAAACCGATATTGTTGTACGCCTTGGCAAGATCATGATGATTCGGTGGTAGACTTTTTTGACAAATTTTAAGAGATTGTTCGTAAAATGATCTTGCTTTCGAATAATCTTTCATGCTTTGATATACTGAACCAATGTTATTATATGAAGTAGCCAAATCTAGATGATCTGGAGGCGAATTTCGTTGACGAATGTCAAGTGCTTTTTCATTGAACTCAAGTGCTTTTGAGTAGTTTCCCATATTCGCATAAACAGAACCTATATTGTTTAAAGCATTTGCTAAGTCAGGATGGGTTGAAGGCAGAGACATCTCGCTAATAGCAAGATCTTGTTCATAAAATGAAAGTGCTTTGCAGTATTCTCCCATGCTTTCACACACTGAACCGATATTGTTGTAGGAAGAAGCCAAATCAATATGATTGGAAGGCAGCGTTTTTTGACGGATGTCAAGTGCTTTTTCATGAAAGAAAAGTGCTTTGGCATACTCTGCCATTCTGTAATAAACTCTACCAATGTTATTATAAGAGATAGCCAAACTGCGTTGATTTGAAGGATATATGTTTTCTCGGATTTTAATTGCGTTTTCATGAAATTCAAGCGCTTGCGAGTAATTCTCCATATTGTCATATACTAGACCAATGTTATTGTAAGTAGAAGCCAAATCAGGATGATTTGGAGGTAATGCATCTCGGCTGATTCGAAGAGCTTGTTCATAAAATGAAAGTGCTTTCGAGTAATCCCCCATACTATCATATAGCGAACCAATATCATTGAGAGGGATAGTTAAATCCAAATTATTTGGCCCATGTATTTTCTCACGAATTTCAAGTGTTTTCTTCTGATAGAAAAGAGCTCTTGAGTATTCTCCCAAATGACTATATGTCAAACCGATATGCCTGTAAGAAACAGCCAGATCGGGATGGTATGGAGGCAGTGCTTTTTCACGGATGGTTAGGGATTGTTCATAAAAAGAAAGCGCATGCGAGTACTGTTCCATATTTTCATACACAGAACCGATGTTATGAAAAGTCTGAGCCAAATCCTGATGGTTTGAAGGTAATGTCTTTTTACGAATATCCAGCGCTTTTTCATGTAATATAAGTGCTTTACTGTATTCCCCCATTTTGCTGTGAAGTAAACCCATATTGTTGTAGGAGGTTGCCAAACTTGGGTGATTGACAGGTAGTGTTTTTTGCCGAATCTCAAGATCTTTCTGATGGAAGTATATTGCTTTTGAATTATCTCCCATTCTAAAATACAGTCCCCCGATGTTGTTATAGGCAGCTGCCAAGTCAGGATGATCTGAAGGAAGAGCATTTTCGCAGATTTCAATGGCTTTCTTGGCAAACGAAAGTGCCTCCGGGTATTTCTCCATGTTAATATATACTGAAGCGATGTTATTATAGGAAGCAGCGTAAATCGGATGTCCCGGTGGTAACGTTTGTTCGCATATGTGGAGTGCCTCCTCATAAAGTGAAATTGCTTCATCATATTCACCTTGATTATCCTTGATGACTCCAAGACAATGATAAAAATGCCTTTTTTGATTCTCATCTAATTCTAGGCAAAGCAATGTTAAGTACAACTCTTCAGCTTTATCAAAAGCGCCCAGTTGTATCAGCAATTTGCCTAAGCGATGCCATCCAGTTGATCCATCAGTTTCGTCTCGTATTCGTTTGGTGAGAGTAGCCAGGAGCTGATCGGTATCTGCTGTTAGTGTGAGTTTTACTTGCCAGAGACGTTCACTTTTATTAATCTGCTCAATTTCACCAATACGAAAAGTGGTATGCATCGAGAAAAGTACTTCTGTTTCATTATCTTTGAAATAGCTGTCGGCGTTGATACGTGCATAGGGCGCCGATGAGATAGTTGGATCTATTGTTATTTGAAAGAGAACTCCTGTGAGATTGTCGTCGTTGCTATTGCTTTCCGCATAAAGGTAGGAAATATCACGGTCGATGCTCGTCGATAAGAAGTTGTTGAATGACAGAAGACCACCTTGACTTTTCTTAATCCTTATGAATTCCTTATGTGATATGCCTTGTCCTCGGTAAACAACAAACGGTTCCGCACCGTTATTTTTCATCTGGTTTGAATGAAGTTTCTCAATTTTCCGATGCAGGTCATTAATAAAAAATCCCATTTTGATAATTGTTTCAATCTCTTGAGTTCGTAGAGCTCCATTCAGCAAGCCATAGATGAAACATGGGAAAGTATACCACCAAACGGGTGATTGACAGCTGTATTCTCTCTCAAATCTATCGAGAATACCCAACTCATATATTGCATCAGGGTACTGCTCGCGACAATAAACAACGAATTCTCTTATAGCTTCTTCGTCATATTCTAATTCAAGTAAAATCTCTTTGAATAACTGAGTGTACATAAATGATTGATCAAGTTCACTAGTATTAAGATTTGATGAATCGTCATTGATTGAAACTAAATTGATCCCTGTTTCTCGATTTGGTTGTTTTATAGATTGTTCAATTGAATCATAGATATGATCGATTCTCGTAAAAAATCCTTTTGCTTTTGGCCATTGTTGAATCCAATGTTTGTTGACGACGTTGCTTTCACAGAAGATAAAGATAGAATGAAGTACTGAAAATTCATGAATCTTAGGAATGATTTGTGACGCAAAAGAGTGGCTAGTAACCATCATCACATGTTTATCTTTGACCGTTGAAAAAAAATGTAAGCATTCTTCCATATTACTGAATTTTTTCATCCTTTGTGTGATGAACTGCAGTCGATCCGTTGATTTGAAAGAGTACTTGTTTGACTCATCTACGTTTGAATCCAGCCAAATGACAAGAAAATTTTGAAGGCTTTTTGCCTGATCAAATAAGCGCCATTTTGCGAGACCCCGATCATACTGTGCTGCTTCAGTTGAACCTTATAAAGTAATTGATGTATTTCATATTCAAGGAGGAGGGGGTGGATAAGGCCGTTTTACAGTCCTCCTCAGATTTGAATTATTTCTATCAACTATTTATCATGGATAGTTCTTGATTACTTTTTCAACTTTGTTTCCCGAAAATCGACATTGACGATTTTTTTGCCTGGGTGACCCCACAGGTATCATCGAAAACAAAACCTGTTTTACCACAAGCCAAAGCCAGATGTAATTGTAGATTTAAAGATACTGATTGGGAATGTACAAATAAGAACTTTCAAAACTACTTTGCTTCAGAAGTCGTCGTCACCACTCGTTTGACCCTAATTTTCATTGTTGGGGTCATTATACAATAGAATGTTTTTAAATTAAATAAAAAATATGTTTACTAACCCAAAATATTGAGTTCTTCACGAATATGAACTTTTGACGCCGAAAGAATGAATCCTTTAGAAAAAAAGATGTCGATTTGGTGGCAAAAATTGACCGTGTTTGAAATATATGACTTTTTCCATCAATAATTTGCCATGAAGAAAGTTTTGTCGTAACGTCAAACTTTGATCGTAACTGTAAATTTGCAAACTCTATCGATTGGAGACCTTAAAAATATTAGGAAAGTTGTGCAACAGGATGAAAAGTTAAGAATAATAATAATTTCTATAAAATTGCTCTAGGTGACCACACCCACGATTATATATGAGATTTTGAAATCAACTGATATATAGTCCATCTTGTAAAGTTTAATCAACTGTGCATACATCAAAAAATTATGGATCTCCGTTCCTTTTTTTGACTGACAAATTTATGTGAAATTTTACCTCGGTGCAACGACCGCCATATATCTTGTGAAGCGAATTCGTGAGTCGAAAGACTGTATGTATAGTTCATTAAGTTTTACAAGATGAACAATATACCTGTGGAGTTCACTGTTTTGTATATTTTAATAGCCGTAGTCCCTTACAGCAATTTTATAGAAATTAATCGTGTTGTTAATATCTCATCCTGTTTCATAACTTTTCTATTATTTTTTAGATCTCCAGTTGATGGAGCTTGAAAAACTACTCTTATCAACAAACATTTGACATTGTGGCAAGACTATCTTCATTCTCAACGTAGACAAATATGGCGAGAAGGGGTCAAATTTTCCACCTGAATCCCTACTTTTTTTTTCATAAGTTATATTTTTCGATGTAAAAACTAAAGATTCGAAAAGAAACTCAAAATGATAACTTAAAGAAAATTATTTTTCCTCGAATTTTATCGCGTTGTTAGTCTGTGAGAGCTCAAACAATGAAAAATATGGTCAATCGAGTGGTTTAGGCTTTATAAGGAATAAAGGAATTGTCGGAGCCCTTATTGTGATATTCTTAATCAACACCCTTAAATCTACAATTGCATTTATCTTTGGCTCGTAAAAAAACATATTTTGTTTCCGATGATACCTGTGGGGTATAACAGGCAAAAACAATTGTCAATATCGATTTTCAGGAAACAAAGTTGAAAAAAGTGGTCAAGGACGATTCCTGATTAATAGCTGATAGAAATAATTCAAATCTGATGGGGACCGAAAAACGGTCGTATCAGCCCTTCTCCTTTGATTTTCTTGTACTCCTTTCAATTCTTTGTAAAAACACGTAAAACGGATTTCCTATTATTTAGAAACTATTTTCTTCTGAAACCCATAGCATTAATTAGACACTCAAGGCAACGTCAATTGAGAATAGGAAGTGATAAGAATAGGTCGTCCCCTCGTGCTTTTGATTTGAATAAAAAATGTACAACTTGTTTGGAATTGGGTTGCACTGATAGCTCGAGCAGGAAGTGACTAAAACCAAGCTATTTTGTTTCTGGATTAAACTAATACTTCGATAAAAAATTGAGAATAAACACTAATTACTTCACTGTATGTCAAGTTTTGTTATAATCATAGGACATTTTATTCTCTAAATTGTGAACCTTGGTGGAGACAGGTATGATTTTATTTGCATTAAATTTAAAGAAAAATAGTGGAAGAGCTCCTATTCAAGATAGTGTTTTGCTCTTAGCGTCCTTTGTCTTGATCTTTAGTTTTTTTTTGCATCATTTTAGTATGTGGATAAAATCTGGTTATTAAAATCAAACGATTTTCTTCCACTGTAGAAATATTAGCTACTTCACAATGAAAAATTTCCGCTGATTTCAATCAAGTTGTTGTGCAACAAAATCCAATCCGCAATCGGATTCATAATTTTGATTATAATCGATCACTATTTAACCCAAACTTGATGTTATTGCTAGCCCAACGGAAATCAGTTTGATTGAAATCTGATTTTTCTGTAGCACACCTTAAATTATCAATCGATTGACTATGTGGATTTTACTGGAAAACAATCCGACTTTAATCAAACTGATTTTCACTGGGCTAACAATAACATGAAGCTTTGGTTAAACGGTGATCGATTAAATCAAAATTATCAATACGATTGCGGATTTGATTTTGTTGCACAATAATTTGATTAAAGTCAGTGAATATTTTTCACTGGATGATTTAAGATATCTGCCCAGATAGCAGAAGGCGTGTGGTTTGAGTCTCACGAAAAATAACTTCTTCTTTTTTCTGTTACAAAATAACAGTGACACGTAGGGGTGGGCCATTAACATTAATTTTATATTAATGTTAATGTTTCTCATTAACCATTAATATTAATGCTTAATGTTTTCTAAGAAAAACTTAATTCATTAATATTAATGATTAATGAAAAACATTAACATTAATTTTAAAATTAATGTTTTCATTAATCATTAATATTAATGAATTAAGTTTGTCTTAGAAAACATTAACCATTAATATTAATGGCTAATGGAAGTCATTAATTAATGTCATTAATTAAGTTCCGTTAAAAAAAATGGTCCACCCCTAGTGACACGTAATGATCAGCGGAGCCATACGTATTGGCTCTCAATTTTAGTTTAACCATATGTGATTGACATCAAGATTTGATATCCTGATGAAATAAAAAAAAAGGAAACAAGTCACTAATAAGTGAGCAGTGCATATTACCAAAAGATTTCTTTTTATATATCATTTTTCAGAAACGAAAATACCATTATGAGTAAAAAACTTTTTACAAAAACATGAATTAAAAAAACCAATAAAATAGGGTGATCCATCACTGAACTTCGTAGCAAAGAAACAATCATAATTAAACAAATGGTGGAATTTCCTCATTATATTTTTGTTTATTATATAATATTTAATAGAAATTAACTCGTTTTCAAATAAGATTTGGACTATTTAACTGTTGCACTAATATAATTCAAACGTTAATTGCTCAAAACAATTCATTCAATGAATTAGACTCCGTCATAGTTGAAGCCATAATTCAGTTTTAGAGTCCCATACGATAGTTCACTAATAACACTGCTTGTGCTTAAATTATATACATATTACAGCTAAAACATTTCATAGGTCATCTCTATGCAGTTAGCATGTGGCACTTCTTCTACTACTCGTTTTTAAGATGGTCCATAATTTCCTTTTAATTCAAGTATACTGTGTTTCTGTCGCTTTGCCTATTGTCTATAATTGTTAATTTTGGGTGAGTTTCTGTTTTCATCAGAGTCTTATTTGATACTCTCGCATAGTCATATAATTCCTATCATAAATACTCTAATCAAATTGTTTATAGTCTTACTTATTCTTCTTACCTCAATATATAAGCACATTAACAATACCCAACAATAACGGTTACTTTATCAACGCAGAGGGTGACTCCATAAATTCAGGATAATCAGCACAAAACAGCTGATAACGCTTGACTTGTCTATTTAGAGTGCTTTTGTTCCTCTTAATCTCTTTTTTCATGTAATCAGATTTCAGGTTGGGATATAGTAATTCAAAATTTCAGACAATTTTCCACTGGTAAAATGATGCTGTGACCAAATTATTTAAACTCACTCGACAATGCGACTTCAGGTTCCTGTATGCAGAGCATCAAGTGTGAATTTGAATGCTGCAAAGTTGTTTTTCCATTATCATGGCATATACTGCATAAGTCGTAATTGGAACAAACTGTACAACTATACCGGAAACCTTCGAAATCTGTCGCGCTGCAACAATCACATGAATAGCCTATTCGAACAAAATTAATATATATCAATCATTTTAAATTATGATGTTAATAGAAACTTTAAACATATTAAGCCTACCTTTATGTATCGACATTATGTTAATTACAGAGCTGATCTATGAAGAAAGAATCTATTTAATACGTATATCTCACGGAAAGATAGTCTCCTAACGAGAGAAAACCTGACAACGAGCAAGTTCAATCCTTTGTTTTGATCAACTCATATTAACGACCAATCTCCAGTGCTAAGTCAGTCAACATTCTAAACAAAAATCATTCTCCCGGGAACCCCGGAAAATAGGCTTACGAACCCTTCTATGCCTGAAAGCCTATTTGAACTTTCGCATGCTTGGAAACCTATTTTCTAGGGTTCCAGGGACAACGATTTTATTTAGAGTGTAGATCGTCCTACTCATTTCCACGTCGTCCGTCTATAAATTTTCCTGAGCTTTTTCACTAGGTTTTCAGTTAGAACTCATCCTTTTCTATTTTTATCTTATATTCTGAAATTATTATTAACATTCTCGACTATTGCTATGACAATACTGAAGTTGATGCTTCAAGTAATCCGTAGGTTTATCTGAAATTCACACAATCTCTGAGGATTATATTCATCTATTTCAATACAAAAGCATTTGTCTCTATTCTGTTACTTTTGGAACGAAAACAAACACGAATAGAAGCCTTTATACGTATGCTCGGTAG